TGTTGATATTCAGGGTAGTGATTGTAACTTGTATGACCCATAAAGAGCAACAAACAACTCAAGTGATAGTAACCAATTCCTTTTCTATGCAGGTAACCTTGCCAATATTGCCATAAATAATTACACAGCTCAATACGCAAGTAATAGGGTTTGCAGTCTTGTTGGACTTAGTGAGCTAGTTTAAATGCATGGTGGGCTATTTGAAAATTATTTTGGATAAACCAAACATTCCTGAAACCATAAAGTCTTGTCAGTGTAAACGAAAATTTGGTGCATGACGTTTTTACAATGTATATATATTTAGAATAAATGCACTGATTCTTCATCATAACCTTTTCTCCTAATATCAAGTTGCAAATTAGGCTACAAGAAATATTTTTACCATTTTGATTGTTAGCAGCTGTTTTCATTTCTTATCATGTATCCCTCTTACAATAGTTTTTCCCATGTTTGCTTCAAGTTGCACCATAACTAACCCTAATTTATGCCCTTATCTAATAGCATAATCGATGGCATAACTCTGCTCTCACACAAATATTGTAACTACCATCGACTAATAATGTTCGGATCACTGTTGCTCACCCAAATACGCAGGCGTAAAAGTTTCCAACTTGCAGAGTCAATGCAGCCATAAACAGCCGAATGATATGTAGAATGTTTATATCCCATTAACTTGTCGTGGCCATATAAAGAGTGGACACAATTTGGACCTTTTGTAATAAAATTTTCTTTTCCTCTCTAGTTTTTCTTGATCCCAAATCCTCCCCCCTGTTTTTCCAAGCCATCAGGGTCAAGATAAATCATTACTGCGTCGACCTGCTCTCTAGGTACATCCAGTTTGTGCCCCTGTTTAACTTTTGCATGGCTCGATATCTAGGCAATTGACAAGGTCCGTCTAATTCTTTATGATCTGCCTCTTTAAGTTGATCTATTAACACATTGAGCAATTTCATTGGCGAGAGCTATGATCTATAAAGGAACATACACACGGAATTCATGTCACAGAAAGTTCATGTTTATAAAAGAAAACAAATGGCGGATATATTTGAAAACTTATTGCAATACCTCCCAGAAAGGGAAAATGAAGATATTCACAAACACCTAGTTGAAGAAGTTAACGTAATTGAGGAAAAAGAAAAGAAATTAATTTGTACTTTGTCTTCAATAACAAAATTTTAACAAAATTGATAAGCCATTGCTTGTATATATTGTTAACCAATCACATTTTATCACGTGATTAAGCTATCCAATAGTGTTCCTTTAACGCTATAGATCACCATAAATTTGTTAAAATTGGATACGTTATATTGAATGCGCTCGTGTTACATGTACCTATATGATTTAATTTGATCCATGTGAGAAGTAAACATGTATCAATAAATATCCCATTTGTAATTTCCAATAAACGAAAGAGAAACTTTATCATGCATGTACCGACTGATGCAGGGAATGAATAAATGATCGAAAATGTCTAGCTAGTGTCGAGCTAGTGTTACCTAAATATAAATCTGCTAGTGTCGCGCTAGTAATCGAGCTAGTGTTATATATATAAATCTGGATTTCTTGCAATGTACCTAAAATAACTAATATGATAATGATAAATTTAATTTTTTAATTTGAACTTCGAATAACTTGAAAACGTTAACATAGCATGTAAAAAGAATAATTATTATTTCAAAACAAAACAAACAACATTTTCAAAACTAGTTTGAAACAAACTGTTACATAGCAACGGATTAATTCTTTGATATGTACTTGTTTGGCATGTATTTAAAACTAAAAACCTGTTTCTATGATTTAATTCGAAATAATTTTGTAGCACACACATTCATAAAAAATATCTTGTTGAGAAGGCTCAAGGTGAGGAGATTCAAACTTTATCAGTTTTTTACAGCTGATGTTAAGTACTGAGTAAATTATCTAAAGTCCTCAGCAATCGAAAATACTAGATCAAACATGCATGCATTCATTTTCCAGTAAAGTTTAAGGCTCCACCTACCCCACAACTCTTTCCTTGACTACTGATGTTCTCAAATTCTTTATGAAATTTCCTTGCATAGATTTTTAATATATTGTGTTTTTGGGGAGATGTAAGTTTTTAAACTTTGACTTTAGTATGAGCGTATCATTTGATGTTGCATTGAAACAAGGACGCCGCACAAAGGGGGCGCGGGGGGTCATCCGATCCTTGCAATCTTTAACTAAAAATAGACAAGAAACGAGCAATTTCTCACGAGAAACCAACAGCTCATAAAATTTCTCTTGGCTTGTCTTTTTATTTACGTTAAACGTGCCATACGCAGAATACAATCAACAGAACTGAATTAACGGAATTCAATATCAAAATCCCTTGCAATCTTTAACTAAAAATAGACAAGCTCAGTTTATGAAACATATTTTGTAAAGTTAGATAAACGACTGTGAATTAAAGAGCGTATGATTTACATGTTTAAAATAGGCGACAACAGTCGAACAAAAAAATCTTTACTCGTGGAATTTCGACTGTTTTCGCCTATTTTTAACATGTAAATCATACGCTCTTTAATTTACAGTCCTTTATCTAACTTTACAAAATATGCTCCATAAATTTCAAATATCATCCTTGTATAAATCTTTGTTGCTTTGCGTTTTTGCTCAACATTTACCGTTTTTGCAGAAAAATTTACACTACTATGTGTTGTTATTTTCAAACATATTATCGTTGTTATATTTATAATAAAACGATGTCATTCGCACTGTTTTGAAGAAAAGTTTTTCTTTTTGAAGGCACAAATAGTTGCATATAAATAGTTCAAATTCCAGTGTTGGAAGATTAGTGCTGCCTTTATATATTATAATTCGAATTTGACATAGCCACAACGCGGGGCGTCATCCGATCCCTTGCAATCTTTAACTAAAAATAGACAAGCTCAGTTTGAAACGGGCAATTTCATAACTAACAGCTCATAAAATTTCTCTTGGCTTGTCTTTATATTTACGTTAAACGTGCCATACGCAGAATACAATCAACAGAGCTGAATTAACGGAATTCAATATCAAAATAAGACACAAAAATTTTAATATTTTCTTTCAATGAATGTTGTATATCGCGAAAAGTAAATATTGGGATTAAAATAGAATACAGTTCTTTTTGTATTTCTTTTAACGACACAAAGTGCGATTTCAGTTACGAAATATAAGTTAAACAGCTTAAAGAAACATTTTACAGAGGTTTTAAGTCCTTCAATTGGTGTATTTCTAAAGTTCATGAACGCTAAGATTCCCCACCCACGTTGACCTGTCGTTTTCTGGCGTCCCTGCATTTAAATTATTTGAAATTTTGTAAAATATTTTGTTAAATTAATGAAATGTTACTTAAAGAGTGCATTGTATTTTATTAAAACCAGGTAAGAAAAATTTCTCGTTAACAAAGAAATCTTTATTCGTGGCATCTGTCTCAGAAGTGATCAAATTTATTTTTAAACGCGTTATGTTTATTCAAAGAACACGCATAGAGAAGACATGGATGAAAAATGCATTGTTCTTGAGCAAATCATATTTTGTCAAAACCAAGTTTTGCGAACATAGGGTTGATGCAAAGTATGTAAAAAAACCTACGATAAAATATTTTTAAGAGATAATGTCAATGATATAATTGAAACCTTGGCAAAATTCTATTGAAAAATTAATTGCAATTTAATACTGTTGTCTCTTAATACTGTCAAAAGAAAAGAACAATAACCATTTTATAAATGTTAAAATTTTCATTACAATTGCGTTTCGATACATCAAATATCTTCATCATTAGAATACAAGGCATCTCTTTATTTGAATGATTTAATAATTGAAAATTTTCAATGGACGCTATGTGATTTTTACTGTAAATTATGAAACATTCTAGGTGGTGGCTGCGTCAAATTCGAATTATAATATATAAAGGCAGCACTAATCTTCTAACCCTGGAATTTGAACTATTTTTATGCAACTGAGTTGTGCTTTCAAAAAGAAAAACTTTTCTTCAAAACAATGCGTATGATATCGTCTTTTATTATAAATACAACAACAATAATATGTTTGAAAATAACATCACATAGCTAATGCTCTCGACTGCATGTAAATTTTTCTGCAAAAACGGTAAATGTTGAGCAAAAATGCAAAGCAACAAACATTTATACAAGGATGATATTTGAATTTTATGGAACATATTTTGTAAAGTTAGATGATGGACTGTAAATTAAAGAGCGTATGATTTACATGTTAAAAATAGGCGATAACAAGCGAACAAAGAAATCTTTACTCGTGGAATTTGTCACAGCAGAAATCAATATTAGCTTCAAACGCCTTATATTGTTTATTCACAAAAGACTCACCGAGCATTAATAATATTTTGTTCTTTAGCCAATCATATTTTGTAGAAACTGGAGTTTGTATACATTCAAAAGAGTTGATGAAAGTGATCAAAGGAAGGAGTTTTAAAATTCCTCCGTTATAAAATATTTACATTCGATATTGTCATTTATTTCTTTGAAAGATTTTATTGTGAAATTGTGCCTTAAAAATTAAAATTTGTGAGAAAAATCACTCAAGTTGATGCCGTTGTATAACTCAAACATAGGTCACTCTACTGAACAATACTGAACATGTTTTACGATACGTTTTTACAAATACGGGTGCCTCTTATATCTACAAACTTAGAATATTTTTCTTAACAGGGATAATAATTTTTCCAAGAAATTTTCAGTATTTCATATGTATAGTCGAATGATAGCGACTTATGTCTATTACAGTGCAAACCAATGAACTTCATTGTCCGTGTTACGATAGTTTTGTATTTCGTTGGGAAAAAGTTATCGATCTTGAAATCTTAAAAATTCAAAGTCAGCGATCACTTTGAACAAACTCCTTTTAATGTTTATAAATTCTGGTTCTACGCAATTTGATTGGTTGATAAAAATTTGTAATTAAATCGCTAACAATCGCTGATTGGTCAATAACTTAACAAATAACATCTTCATCGTCATGTAAATGTTAATATATATCGCTTACTCACCAGATATAGACTGGCGCTTCCGAAAAACTTCCAATAAAGGCAATATAAAATTTCATTTAGTTTGAGAGCAAAATACTGGCACGGATTGTTTCATTTCAGGTAAAGATTTGCAACAATATAAAATCCTCTAATATGATTACTTACCATTGAATTAATTATGTTTGAAAGCATTATTAGTTCTTCAATATACAGCATTATGCCGCTTAATGTTGATGCTCTAATGTCTAAAATTACTTTTGACATTACTTGTTTGTAGAATGCAACTAAATCTATCCTCTTGGATTGTCATTTGGAGTATCTTAGTTTTACCCGGTAAGCGGCTTTTTTAACAACAGTGATAGTTATCACTACATTAATGTTAAAAACACATATTTGTTTCTCGTAAAGAAAAATCGTCGTCTGCTCACAGGATACATTTCGTAAAAAGAATTACGCTTAAGTTCACTGCAACTAAAAATGTTTCTTACTTTATGTTCGATACTGCGGTGTAAACAAATGTCCCTGCAGGGAAACATTCTATCAATTCCTTAAAGTGTCTATGTTACAAATTTTAGCCCCTTTTTATTGTATAATTTGGAAATTGGGCTAATTGAAGAACTCTGACATATCGATGACATTGCATCCAAAGTTGGGTATTATTTGCGAACTTTGTACGACGCCGAAATGACACTTGTGACGTAGTTGGTTGGACACGTCTGATGCCGGCAAAATAATATTACGCAGTGGCTATTCGTACTGCAACAGTACGCCGAGAGCCATTTGCTGTTTGTACTGGAGTTCTAAAATTTCCCTATTTTTCTAGTAAATCTTGCTAAGCCTTTCTTTCTCCTCGTCGTTTCGTGTTCAACAAAGTAAAGCGCTAAACACCAATCGCTTTTTTTGCCTTTATCTTATTTTATTAAATAATTTCATGTATCGTGCAACGTGGGGGTGTTCTCCAAACTTTATACCATTTTCTAACGTAAGTATACTTGACAGTGCTGATCGTGCCATGTTAATTGCACTGTATCCATTCTCCTTCTTGTTCAGCATTACTGAAAACTCGATTGCAGTCTGCAATCTAGGATTGAATGCACCAATTTCTTTTCTCTACAATAACTCTCAAATATATATATCTAAATAGGTTTTGTCTAAATTTTTCCCAGATAACAGGCAGCTTATGAGCTGAATTTTCTCCCAAATGGGACGACTGCCTAGTGGACTGCTTTGTAGGCGTAGGAGTTCTTTGCTGGCTTTGACATAAATTGGTTCCTTTATCATCATTGAGAGGGCTTTTGCATACCAGCACTGTGTTGGGCAGTTTGGTAGAGCACATATTCCCAAAGCTCCTTCCCTTTGAATCCTTCATAACATAGCAGCTATGATTCTAAATGATAGAAAAGGGTAAAGTCTTATGTCTCCCTATGATAAGGAAAATGCGTCAATTGCACAAGTGTTAGGGTCTAGGTGGTATGCCACTTATTTGAAAAATTGATTGTTTACCTGACTCGCAAATAAATCTATCTAGGCTAAACTTTAGTTTTGCTAGGACCCTTGAGAGCACTGCTTTATTTAGCATCCACTCAGATTCCTTCCCTTGTCCCATTGATTCGAAATCAGCTATAATAATTTACTTGCCTGGTATGTGAGCAATACTAATCCAGATGTATTTATTTATACACATTTCCCTCTGATTTTGTCCTCGCTCCAAGAGTGGATGTTCCTTGATACGTTGCCTCCTACCCTGAAAGGAAGCATCAATGGTAATTGTATGTTGGGATTCCTCCCTCGACAATTTCTAAAACAAATTTTTTGCATTAGAGACTCAACATTGTAATTCTGTTTTTCCACCCTGTGATAGATGCATATTGGTGTCAAAAGTACCTTTTGAATTTTCAAGTCTTTAGTTTTATCACTTTCTACTTCTTTATAGTACAAGGGCCCACACATTATCCTTGGGAAGCTTGCTATTATTTTCTTAACTACACTGGCAAACATTCTTATTGATTGTGGTTTAGTTACATCTAGTAGCGCTTTGCAAATATTCCTCAAATCCTTGGCCCTTTTCGAAGTTAGCCTTATGGTCTTTCTCACCGAGTTAATAAGAAACCCCAAGGAAATGATTTCCTGTGATGGAGTTGGACGGACTTGGTAGGAATTGTGATAAATCCTGTTTTTTAAACATTACAAACGTATCAGTGATGTTAAACACATTGCCCTTGAAAATAGCAGTCATCAATATGCACTAACGAATTGTGTCCACTTGAGAGCAATTTTGCTAGAACCGGTTTCAAAGCTTTAGTGTATATCTTAGGTGCACGTGAAAAACCATTTGAAAGCATGCAAATAGATAAATTTCTTCACACCATTACGATCGTAAAAATTTTTGATTCGATGCCCTTAATGATACAGAGTTGTAGACATCTTTTAAGTCCAGGAATGCCATAAAGCAATTTTTCGTTACCAGCTTGGTGACATTATGAATAGAGTTCATCTTAAAATGATGATAGACCACTGACTCGTTAAAAGCATTCAATTTACGAATTAGGTAATGTGACCCATTGGGGTCTAATTTAGGTAATAAAGATATGCTACAAAGGATTTGTCCAGTTTCATAATGCACTTTTCTGTATTACACCCCTATTAATTAACTTTAGTATCTCCTCGTCAAGCAAGGAGCTTTCACGTCGGAGAAATTTTTATGGTCGTAGCTTATGTTACGATGGTTCCTCAGTGCATTTGATTGTAACACCTGTTATATGAGATAATATTTCCGTACATGCGGGAATGCTGTGCAATTCTCCCTGCAATGAAATTTTTGGATGAATTATGTAGATAATTTTAAACTTCAGGTACAAATTTCTCAAACTTACTTACCGATTTTTTGATTTGATTTAAATTCTCTATGATTTTTTTTGTAGTCCTCTTTTCCATTTAGGTTTTTTTCTTTCTTTGCAGTTTCATCTGTTGGCTTTGCCATAAAAAATTTTGTTAGTACAAAAATGCCTCTTTTCATAAGAAGGAATTGGTTTTTTGCCAGAAGAGTACGTTCTGCTATTTCCACTTCCCACGGAGAAGCTGATGTGACTTGTCTCCTTTACCTCTTTTAGATTTTTTGCCAAGTCATCTTCACACATTAATTTGCTGTCTGTCAGGTCCTCCAGTGAACATATTGCTCAATACTCCTCTTTAATTGCAGATTTTATCTAATCTTTTTGCACCAATAATAAATTATTATGTGCATGTGCCATCAACGATCTGGCATCCACTAAGTTTGCAAATACCTAAGAGTTTTCACTTCTACAGCCTATAACCACAAACAAGTTTGTTGTTTGTAAAGTTGCAAACATGGCTGTGAGTACTGTTTGTTGTACGTTGAACATTTGCATATCTGCCTTCTTTTTCTTTGAACTTAACAGTTGCCATATCTCTGGATTAATCTTCTTGCACCACATTCCTGGGCAGTTTTCACGACGAGCATATTTATCAAAGATTAGCTTTAATCTTTCGGGTTCATTTGTTTGCCCTATCGTTTTAACATTATGTCGTCCGACTTTTCTGTTATGATAGGGCCTTAGCTTTCCTCATCTGACAGACTTCTTTGAGAGGTCGTCTAAGAAAGCATGTTCTTGCGCGTAGGGTTTATTTTTGTTATCTCACCGTCGGTATTCTTGCAAGCAGTGCCCACAAGTTTCGCTAGCTTATGCCTGCTATCGCTAGCAATGCTTATAGCATGAGGAGACTTATTGCGACGTTGTCGCTTGCCTCTCCTCCTCCCAGAGGATGTTTCTGAGTCTAGCTCAGTTTTAGAGTCATTGTCATGCTCTGTTGACTGTTGTTTCCGACTGAACGTTAGGTTTTCGCCTTGTGAAGGCTTTTTAGCAAGTATATGTTTAATTATCTGTCCCATTTTGCACATCGTAACTTTATTGTTGGCTATAGACTTATGAATGTCTGACGTCGTCTCTTTAGCCCAGTCTCTAGGCTGTCTATTTGGCAGTTCCGATGTCTCTCCGAGCTGAATGACCGAGCGGAATTATACTCATATTTTGAGTAAGCCGGACGTCAAAAGGCATTGACTAATACTCTTCATTTTGAGTAGCGTTTACTCAAAAATGTGCGCTCAAACAAGCTTTTGTTTGAGTCAGAATAACACAGAATTAAGAGTTACTATTGTTGTATACATTTATTCAGTACTTTGAGTACCATATACTAAGTATTTCACAAACTTAAATTGATGATACCACTATACTACACCATATGTCAAACCTTGTCATAAGTACAATTTTACACTGTTGCAAAACTTTCATGTATTAGACATACTGTTTAGTCTTTTAAAATAATTCTAGATAGCTATAAAATGCTAAACTGAAACTCAGTTAATTTTGACATGTTGAACAAAATTTGCTTTTTGAAATTTTGCACTATCCTTGGATCCCTAGTTTGTGTTTAGTGTCATGCATTTACTGATTTAATAAATAGTTGTTGAACAATCATTTCCTATCAATTTTATACAAGGCTCTGGAACTGACATTTGCTCTTCATCATCAATTACTTCAAGCAGTGGATCAATTACATCTCCTAACTATCCCAGAAGTTATCCTGGTACAAGAACTTGTACCATAACAATCAGTCGACCTCTTAACTACAGAGTCAGGTTCATCATTTCGAACATTAATTTGAAACGAATCAATAATGGTATGTAAACTTGTGAACATAACGAACTTATGTTATTAATAGAAGAAAAATAAAACCTATAACTTTACCCAAAAAAACAGGCAGTCAGGTTTTATGTTTGGATTCACTTACCATCTCTGGAGGAACATCAAAACAATTCTGTGGTAATGAAACATCTTCGACATTTGTACCGTATACCAATGTTGTAACATTGACTTTGAAGACAAGTGGATTGGCACCACTAGAAGGATTTTCTCTGCGATTTACAATTTTTCATTGTAAGTACTCCTTTTATAACGCTATTGAAGTTTGTACAATATTTTTATACAGACACAAAATAAAGGGGTTGTTTCCTAATATCGAAACGTTTTCTGCATGTTATTGCGAATTGATTTTTTTATTTTTCCTCCCTAATTGAGTTTAACTAAAGGCACATCCTATCAAAAAAGGTAATTTTATATGCTGTGTACTTTGAACCGGACAAAGTGGAAACCGGTCAAACATTCGTTCTTTTTCGTCTTGCGTTTACACGAGAGCCGTGGAACCGAATGAGTTCGCGACCCTTAAAAAGCAGGTCTATAGCTTTTGACTTTACAAGTTTTACATAAATCTTATACTGTGTAATCACGAGGGCTTAACTTCGCTTTGTATCGAGAGAGCGTTTAAGGTTGGGTATGACGACAACACTATCTTATTTTTTTATATAACATAAAGATTAAAATTGCAATTTTTTAAGTTTAGTTTGAAAACAAACCAAAATAAGGCTGAACATTCGTTTTTAAAAACTAAGTAAGAAAGATGTTCTTTTCAAAAAAAATGAAAGAAGAGATTCTGGCATAATTTTTTAATTTAATGACGGAAATGCATGGATGGTGTTCTTCAATTCACCCTTTCTCAAATGGCAGTTTTTTTCGCTATCTTCTCCACAAATAGTGTAAGAGCTGAAAATTATTTTGTCAACTTTTCTATCTGTCCACTTGTCGAACGGCGAAGATATAAAACTAAATCAGCACAATTTTGGAAAAGACATGGCAGAACATCAATATGGTGCATGGAACAATTTTGTGAATAGTGTTATGGAAAGCGAAGAATGGCGTAAAAGATACATGCAGACGTAAAAATCTATGATGTGCAAAGTCAATTTTTTGCGTCAGGTGACGCAGCTTGAATTTTTCTCCTCAAGAAAGCAAACTGTTCAGATATAAACATAAAAAAAACATATAAATAATATAGTAATTTACATGATTAATTAAGAAGTATGCCAAGAAGCAATTTGGTTAAGAGGCTTACTACGTGATATACACTTCACTCAAAAAGGAGCCAAACATCTTAAAAGAAGACAATCAAAGAGCAATAAGTTTGTCAAAAAGCAAGAAGTATCATCCAAGAACGATGCACATTGACATAAAATATCATTTCACCTGCGACAAAGTACTAAAAAAAAATTAAACTTGAGTATTGTACGTCACAAAAATGGTTGCTGATATGTTAACGAAACCATTAGGAAAAATTGTATTTCAACGAATGATATCAAATATGGGAGTAACAAACATTTAAAGGGATAAAGATTAGTTTATATTTTTCCAAAGGGAGTGATTGGATATGAACATCAAACGAAAATATATAAATGAAACTATTGTTTTTCATAATTAATTAAGTAGATATGATAGATGTCATATCACGTGAAGGTTGTTATTTGCAATTTCGATGCTCGTTGCACACTTATTGTTTGTTTCTCAATAAAATCTATATTATACCTCATATACTCCGAATTTTATTACAGAGTTATGAATAATTTAAAACAAATGTGCAAGTGTCCGTGGAAACGCTAGTAGCGGTGACGTTGCACTATTTTGCCAGTAGCGAAGCTAGCATGGATTGTTTGGGGGTTGAGGGTGGTGGTGCAATATTCATATAGGCATGTTATAATCTGCAGAAAACAATCAATTTCAAAAGAACATACTGCAATAAATGAATATGTGAATATTGCCCTCTCCGCTATTTCTAGAGAAGTTACTTTCAGTAATATCAACTATCATGGTGTATCGATACAATATGTGTATCTAAAAACAGGAAGATGTAAACATGGCATTTGAACAATTTTATAAAAAACCGGTGTTTCCTTAATGCTTTGGGAGCTATTTTTTGCACTCATGCTGTTTTGAAAGATTTTTGTGAAAATCTAATGGTTTTACTAAGCGAAAGAGAGATTCTCTCTGAGTGTATAGGATTTGTTGCCCTGCAATTATTGTTTTCTTGATATAGTCGTTAAATGGGAAGATTGTGCTCACGATTTTAGAATATTCTACAATTCAAAGGTCTAACAAGATGTTAAATAATGACGCAGTACCTCCAACGTGTAAAAACTGTTCCAGACATGGTACCAACCCCTGTTTGTGTACTTGGGGAGAAAGTATATAACACTATATTTCCTTATTTCATGAAAGAAATTCTTAGGAGGAGGAAACATTATTAACTAGCAATGTTATGTCTAATGCTTAAGATCAGCACGAATGGAAATAGAATGCTCAATTGAAAGTGTCCCAATCAATCATTATAAATTTTTAACGCAAAAACTAATGCTCCCATTATCTACATCCTTTTTTGAAATACGTAATTGAGCCTTATTACCCAAGCAAGAAGTAGATGGAGCATTTTTAGAATTATTCCTGGCATTTTCAGCTTTTTCAAAGAAGAAGAATACAGGGGCAGCATTTTTTGTATCTAATCGAAAATTTTTTTCTTTTCAATTCTTTTTGCAGATCATGATTTATATAAAAGCAAATATTAAACCATTAAGCAACTATTAAACAATATTTAATTGTTTAAGTGTATTACATATCAATATCTTCAGTGTGAATGATAGTAATATGAAATATGATACAGTATAGGAAGATATAAATAAATTATTTACATTGAATGGGAGTGTGATTTATTTCAAGGAAATTTAGAAAAATATATATATATAGATAAAAAAGTATTTACATTAGAAATGGTGATAAATGAAATTAGACCTATTATAAAGTGAAGATAGAGTTGTAATGGTGAATTTGAACATTTAGATCGGGATAACTTTTATTGATGTGAACAGGTTCTTTGATATTGAGAGAGAAAGTTGATTAATCGGTGTCAATGACTTTAAAGCAAGAAATTAAAAATTTTATTTTTACAAGAAGAGGAGGCATAAAGATGTTTATAGATGGTGGAGTTTTTGTCTGTGTGTGTGTGTTCCTTTATCCTGTACAAAATTGGCGAGAGGTTTCACCAATGTAACGGGAATTACATCCCGCACATGAGAACTGGTAAAATACCATATAAGTTTGGAGACTTCAGGAAGTGGATCTTTAAAGCAGAAAAAGGGATTTTATTTTAAAAGGAGTAAAAATGAGTTTAATTTTAATTTCCTTACAGTGATGCTTAATGATTTGTATAAGTTTACGTTGAATGTGTCGTGAGTAATCATCTATTTACGATAGTTTTAAAAAGCGTTTGTTATCAGGCTGTTGTCCATCGTCAGGGTTCGTTGTGGAATCATACGTGTCAGTACTTTTGTTGTTCTTTAAGGGAGCGTTGTATTATATTGTTGATGAAATGAAAAGGAAAAGAATTACGTTGTAAGGTGAAAATTGAAAGTTTTTTTAAGTCATGCTGAAAGCCGATTTCTGTGTTGTTCAGTTTCCTTGCTCTGTCTATCAGTGTTGGTATCAATCTAATTTTGTAAGTTAAAGGTGTGAAACTGAAATAGTTTGTCAGTAGTCCTGTTTATGTTGGTTTGTGGTAAGTGGAGGTTACACAGTTATTATGTGTCTTAGTAAGTAAGATGTCAAGAAAGGGTAACTGATTGCTTTTTTCTCTTTCGTACGTAAAGTGTAAGCTTTGGTGCTGTTTGTTAATGTATTCGTAATAAAGTAATGCTTCATTTTCGTTATGAAAAACACAAAAATGTCGTCCACGTATCTGCAGTTACACAAAGGTTTGTTGTTGTTGAAGTTATTTAACCAGTTTCGTTCGTGAAAACCCATAAAATGCTAGCTAATATGGGCGCTAAGTGTAAAATCATACTTACCCGTCAATTTGGTCACAGTATTTGCCGTCAAATAAAAAAATTAATCTGGGCAGTAGCGACGTTAAAAAGTTGTTTCAGTTCTGTTTTGTTCATTTTCAATGTGAGGTTGTTAGTAAAAATTATATCCATACAAAAATATAAATAAATATATTAAATCTATATTTACTGGTAAAAACATCAAGACATCTTATTCCATATTTGTAGTTATTTGCTTTTCTATATTTTACCTTGAAGGTGAATGTTTAATCAGAGCTTTTTAAAAGTTGTATTCATAATTTTCCTTTTTGTATGTTTTTAGATAACAGCCAACCACCTGCGTTCAGTGTTTGTTCTAAAAAAACAATATCTAGTGACGCTGGTCGTATTTACTCACCCGGATTCCCCTTTGCCTACAACTCGAACTTAAGATGTAGTGTTACTATAATGATTCCTGAAGACAAATCTTTGGAAGTTGTCCTTAACATTATTGACATATATAGGTGTAAGTTAGCTTAAAAAGAACACTTTTTTAATGAATGTTTCCAGTATATTCATTAAGATTTTTGAGATCGTTACAGTTTATGTTCATATAGAATAAGTTAAGAATTTGTAAATCTAATTTTATAATTTCTAAGTTTTTTGTGGATAAACTAGAGTGGAAAATATCCAGTACGAGCTTTGAAATGATTTGTTTTATTAGATTATTATTACGAAGATGGGTGTCATGACGAAGAGTTGATCATCTCAGATGGAACATATTCTAATTCTACATGTGGAAAGTCATTTGTTAATAGTCCTCCAATTTTCTTTACTAAAGAAAATATTAATGTCAGTTTTCGTTCTTCTTACTGGCGCAACAGATTATCAGGGTTTTTGTTGACATTTAGAGTTGTTGATGCAATGGGTATGAATATTTACATTCCTGTAATACTTCTTACTAAAAGGCTTTCTATAACATTACAATGTGTACGTTATAATCAGCTTGTAACCGCTGTATTTTAGATATTCAATGTACATTTGAAAACGACCTGTGCAATTTTACAAAGATTGGAGGGTGGCAACGAGTTTCTGGATCATATTTGGGTAACTTGTCAATTGTCGATCATACTATTGGCGATGCCTATGGTGAGTAATTGTTATATTGCGTCTCTTTGTCTACTCTTGTCTTAATTGCTGGCGCACAAAAAAAGATTGGTTCAACTTAAGAAAATTACTAAAATAAACGTAATACTGGACCTGTTTCGAAAATAGATAGTCCATTTAGTTGAATAAGATAGTTAATTAGAATCTGGCACAGAACCTTATATCCTGTGACTACTGTCTCATAATCATGGACTAAGAAAAAGGTATTTTGAAGACACACATCTTTATGCATCTATTTCGTTTAGTTTTACACATATGTTTGAGAGGGGTTACCATACAAACGAAAGTCGATTAAATTTTCCTGTCAATTTGGTGAAAACATCGGCACCCAAACATATACTTTACGAGGAAGGTTGAATCTAGCAGCTTTAATTTTGATTGTTTTGACATATTTCTTACTTAAGAAATTTAGATCTTTTTTCGTTAAGTGAAGAGTTTTTACATTCTCTTTTTCCTATGTAATGGATTGTTTTTTGCTTCTTTCAGAGTTTACAGTAACAATTCATTTTGCAATCAGAATGTTATCTGCTTATTTTTTCTGTTCATTTCAAATACTGCAATGAGTGGAGCCAAGAAATATATCTAAAGAAATTACTTCATTTTTTTAAAAATACTTTTTTGTACGTGCAAAATGTTTAAACGGAAAAACGTGGCATTTTTTGAAAAATACTCCAAGAAAATGAGTTTTTCGCAGCTTTTGCCACCATATTGTTTCCGAATTTATCTGATCAAGTTTTATAGCTAAAGAGAAATATACTGCAATCATTTTGAACAAATAATTAAGTATATTAACGAAAAATCGCGAATATATACACCGATAAATGTTTTTGCAAATTGGTAACTTTGTCAAATCCAGCATTTCATTGCCAGAATTATTTTACTATGTTAATTTTTGCCTCTTAAATAGTTTCCCGTATCTGACGAAAACATTCTAGTTACAGGTGAGGTGTGGCGCAGGGAAAAATTGAAGTAATTTCATTTCAATCGTGGAATAAACATTAATGTTAGTGATATCCAGTGTGTTTGCTTAGTGTTTATTGAAGACATCTTTTGCATTTGTTGGTCATAAATAATAAGCTTTCGGTTTGAATGGATAATTAAAGTATTATACGATGTGATGGGTATTGTATGTATGGGTGCTACTGGGTCTCAATGACACTAATTAAAGGTATGATAGTACTTGCTATTTCAAAATTTGAACAATATATATTTGACAATTTAAGTGGTCACAACATTTCAGAATGTAATGTGCATGAAATTACAAAAGTTTCCACAATTTAATTTGAAAATTACTGCTTATTGAATAACTCATAAATGCAATCATGTTTAAATGAAGCTGTCAAATCAACAGGTGGAATTGTTTAAGTGTTCTCTTTTTACAACATGATACACCAATCAATTTCTTCAAGCTAGATGTTGACATAGCACAATAACTTAGACAATAAAACGATAAAATTGAGCAAATGACGATTCTACCTAAACTTTTATCGGTGGATGATTTCACAAACGGTCAAAGATTTCACTCAAATATATTCTCAAAAGGATCGTTGCATGTTAATCTTTATTATAATACTAGATTTGATAAATTCGAAACAATATGTTTGAAAAAACTATTAAAAAGTCATTTTGGTAATACAATCAAGATATCTTTTACTCTCTTGTTTGGCCATCTTGTATTTTATGTCGTATTCAACATCAAGTATCCTCTAAAATTACGTAATCATAATGGCGTTGATCTATTGCGAAAGACATCAAATTATTGAAATTTCAATGGTGAAATACTCAAAAAATTGCATGTTTTGAAAGTGAAAACAAGTGAATTTACACTTTCTATGATACAATCTACTAATTTATCTTGATAAAATGTAGTACCCAATGGGGGACAATGAAACTAAACCATAATCTGCCACAGAATACGGCCTGAAATGAAATTAAGAAATATCATCAATATTTTGACGTTGTCTTTAGCAAAATTCTACAGCTTCCTTTGCTTGAGAAAAGTTGGCATCGGAATTTGTCATTTGGAAGGATTTGGCTTTCTTACTTCTTCTGATACTACTTATAACAATACCCTCTTGCTTGTATTAAAAAACTACCTGATGTTTTGATCAATTAAAAAGTCCAATCTTAAAAACTTGGATTGTTGCTCAAGTTAAAATACCTATAAAGATCACTCGTCTTGGCTTGTTTTTCGCGAAACTTCCTGATGTTTGTATTGCTTTTTTTTTCATTAATTTTCTTACTAATAAGTAATTTATTTCTTTTCCTGGATACATTTTTCCGTTGTGTAAAAAATAATATTTCCAACTTTGTATCTTCACATCGGAGCTTTTATGTGATAGAAACGTTTTAGTTTCAATATGGTAATACTCCACTTATAATGAAGAAAAGACAAAGGACACCATTTTATAGTTTCTTTGGTAATTTTATTTGGTAATTATTTAATTTTCTTATACGTTTGTATAAAAAATGGATTTTCAGAATTTTTCACTTTTACCTTGCACATAATGTCTATTTAGTAACTGAAGGGAAGTTGTCATCATGAATATTCTCTGTTAATTAAGAATCAAATTTTCATACAGGTCACTTTGTCACTATGGAAACAACTAGTCTTGAACGTCAGAAAAATGGAACAGTTAAAAGGAACCTCTCTGCAAATGGCAATTTAGCATGCTTGACCTACTGGTATCGAAGCTTTAGTTACACATTAAACATTTTAAAGGTTTATGTCATCGGAAATGGGAAAGAACTTGTCTTAGAGAAAAAGTTGTTGGGCATAGAAACATCTTGGAAAAAAGGCAACATGACGATTTATGTAAACCGTAACAGTTTTTCTGTAAGTAGCATGCACACATTATTTACAGTTAAAAAAATGTTTCAAATCCCTCTTTTAATTAATCTTCCAAAACAAAAGCACGTGGCAGTCAAAAGTTGTTTTTAGACAAAACAAATTACTCAATTTATACGAAACATTAGTTCTAGTGTTATATACAAGTTAGCATTAAAATCATAAATTTTATTGGTCTTAGTTAGTGTTTTAAATGTCTAAAACAGGATAAATGAACTTGTTTTCTTCAAAATATTACCTCCTTGCTAGCCAGAAATCTAGATAATATATCAGTGTAGAAGTAGCTAGTATTTGGCATTTATTAGTAGGAAAAGTAACATAAACAGTAGCACTTTTACGTTTAAATTAGCACTGCACCTTTATAGAAAAGCTAATGCTGTTGAGATGATGACGTTTCCTGTTGAATTAAAATTTGAATGCCAAAAATTTACAAGAATATATTAATTCACAATATACACGAGAAAATTCTCGCTCTTCTTTTTTCATGATGCACTTTACAGTAGAAGAACAAATCTATTTTATAATATGCTCACACCTGACTTGAATAATTTATCAACAGATAATTTTTGAAGCTATGGTAAACTCATATCCTGGTCATATTGCTTTGGATGATATTTTTGTTGACCTTGGCGATTGTCTCAATCCCGGTGAGATTTTGTTTATGATATATTATATAATGATCACCAAAACGACTGCTTCAACAGTTGGAGCGATATTATAGTTGCTAAGTTTATATTATTTGCATTATTCAAGTAACGAGTCAATTATTGTTTGTTTTTTTTTTGAGTATAAAAAATTTCAAAATCTTTTTAAATAGTTTTATTTGCTATTTTCTGCTTTTTCAAAGATTTGAAGATATTAATTGTAAATATCAATCAACATTTGTTAATTTTATTACTGTTTTAACGTCAAATGTTTTACCTAGTTTCAAAATGAATAATTGACCGAAAGTTAATTTCCTAAAACACAACTTTTATCATAGCTACCACACTAAAAATTTTTTTTCAAAACAGGTGACTGTAACTTTGAAAACGGAATTAGTAACTCAAAATGCCCGTGGAAAAATGTTGGATTTCCCCTCGATGATTACGATTGGATTGTCCATTCTGGCTTCACACCATACTATGGTAGTGGTCCCAACTTTGACAGGAAAAGATCCACAATCGGTGGGTGTTATATGTTCAATTTAGTTCCTTTAATTATAACGTGCTGCATTATTTAGATTAGTTGCTATATTTCAAGCAAGTTATTGAGACGTATAAACTTATAAGAATGTTGCAAAATAGATAAATCTCTCTACAATGATATTTTTCTAATTTTACATTTCACAATTAAATAGGAAAGTACATTTATATGGGAAGATATTATGGATCTATGGGTTCTAAAAGCTGGTTGGTTAGCGACTATTTCAATACATCAGCAAAGTGTTTTACGTTCTGGTATCATATGTATGGATCAACTGTTGGTTCCCTCAATATATACGAGCAATCTATTGGAGAAGAAATGAAACCTGTATGGACTTTGAGTGGTAACAAAGGAAATGTCTGGATCAGGGGACAAGTAACAGTGAATTTTGGTGTTGGATTGAAATCTAGGGTAAGTATTCTATAGTATTAAGTAAAGGCCATTAGTCTCGATGAATTTTTTAACTGGAAGTCTTGCTTAACAATTTAGCCGGCCATAACAATTGTTGTTTGAAGCTTGTGTAGCATAAATTATACATAAATCCAATAAATCTATTGAGATCTTGTTTATTGTTAGCAGCATTGTTTCTTTCACATATCAAACATGTCCATAGGCTATGAAATAGAAGCATATGAAATTTTTTGTACAACCTCTCTGTTATTTTCGAACTAACAATAAAAATCTGCAAACATTCTCTTCGCTAGTGAATGAAATAAAATTAACTCCAAAAAAATTATTGATCATGCTAACTGACATCATGGTTGATGTCAAAAACTAAGTTTTTACAATGATCAACAAATTGAAGACGTAATTTGTCTTTTTTCGCAATTAATGACTAAGTAACTGAAAATACTAAAGACAAAGTGAAATTTATGAGTCCAAGAGAGAGGGATGCAATATTAAAACACAAACACATCATACACTGACTAAGCATTGTGTTAACAAAAAGCATTGCCTTTTTAGTATAAATATAACAAACAACACACACCTGCTACTTTTCTTTCATTTCGAACAAATAACTGCTTAACAAAGCCAAATGCTGGAACTGAAGGACAATGTTAAATACTTCGACCCTAAATGTCCTCTCCTCGTAGTCTTTGGGAGTTTTCATGACGAATTCAACAAAATACAATAGATTGTGTTGCTCTTTTCATTCTTTCTCCTGCTTAACATAAAGTATAATTCGTGGACAAAAACAGTCCTTTTTAGGACTATACTAACCTGGACGATCTACATCTACAAACATGTAACGATACTCCAGGGTTCACACCATTTACTTTATTACGATCATTTGGATGACTGAGCGAACAACTTGCTAACGACTACATACGTTTTGCAAGCAACGTCAGACGCATACGCCAACAACTCTGATTTAACCACCTCTGCAAGGACGTATGAACCAAATAAAAATAAGGCTAACCTCACGTATATTCCTCGTTTTGACTTTGAAGATGACTTCCGCTAAGGTTGTTTAAACTTCAGTCAACAACAACAAAATCAGTCCTTCTCAGTACTGTACTAACATGGACGATCTACATCTACAAACATTTAACGATCTACACATCTTCTGCCCTGTTGACGCCGCCATATTAAATACTCATACTGGCCTTAAGATCGAGCATGTAACATGTACATACGTCAGCATCTGTGTGTAATGTACCTATGCGTTGATGTACTACCTCAATATAGTCGCTTTGACATCACATGCAACAATGTATAAATAAATTAAATGAAGAATAAATGCATAAAATATTCATAATGTATAAATAAACAAATATAATTCCTGAATTAAATAAATGCATAAAACAATAATAATGTATAAATAAACAAATATAATTCCTGATAAATTGACTTTCAAATTTTTACTATTGCATTCATAAGATTATTGTTGTATCGCGTTTAAAAAAAGGAGTTAATGTAAACATTAATATTTTGCCTTTAGATAATCGTCGAAGGAGTTAGAGGATTTACTAGCTCTAGTTATATCGCTCTTGACGACTTTAAATTTTTTGATGGACCTTGTGATATTCTTCCGCTTAATGCAACACCTCCACGTGAGTTTTTAATTATTTTTTTTTATTTACAAGTAGAAACATACAATATTAAGATGAACTCAATAAAGGACTACTGTTTACATTAGTGCATTTTTTAACCGACATTTTCTTTAAAGCTGATACCTGTAATACAATACATAATAGTAATAATAAGTTGACTAAGCTTATTGTGAGTACTGTTTTTAGTGAAACACCTTTATCATGTTTTTCCTTTCTCAACTTAGTAAGCATATCATATAAAACAGTATCTATAAAACTTCCACTCACTTCCACAAACGAGAACTAACAGAAGGAATACAATTTAAAACACAATCAAACTTTTTATCAAAATTTATATATTGCACATTTGTTGAGACGTTTCCATTGGTCAATTGACTTCTGCAATAAATAAAAAATTCACCAACAGGAAAAATAGCTACTAGTTTCAGGAAAAAATGCCTAATGTAAAAAAATATGACTTGGCAAAAAGTTAGTAATGTGACGACATAAAAATGAAGTAGAGGCAAAACAGAACAAACATTCCTTAAATAATATACAAGAAAGCTTACTAAATTTTTTTATTATTTTTTTAGAAGAAAGTTTTACATTTACATGATATATTTCTATATTAAAGCGCTAAATTATTTTTTTGTCAACAAACACCGCATCTTTAATTATTTAGGTAACAGATAAGGACATAATTAATGACATAAAATAAAATTTGAGCAACAGCTTTTTTCTAGGTTTTTACCTATGCAAACATCCCCCCCCCCCTCCTTTTTTTTAAAAAATTGACTATTTAGCCTTCAAACGAATTAACGATAACAAACACGAAAAAGGCTCTCCTTCTTTTGCTAAGATGGAGAGTATATATATTCTTTTAATCTAGAAGATATGCAATTCAAAAGTTATTTTTTTATTAACGCTCATTTTATATTTAATACAGGTTTTGGTATCCCAATCAATATTTGTCCATCACGAACTATTACACTGTCTAAAGGACATATTGTGTCACCAAATTACTATCCATATTATTCTTTCTACGCAAGTTGCACATTGACAATCAGACAACCTCTTAACACAGTCCTCAACTTTAGCTTTTCGTACATCTCTCTTGACTCCTTCGTAAGCGGTGAGTACTTACAAAAATTTATTATTATTGTTATTATTATTATTCGTGTTTGTTAAAACAATCTTTATTGAAAATTTTCAAAAATACAAACATCAAACCCGGTCTGCATTCACTTTTCACAAAAAGCTTCTTATTTATTATAGCCACAAGTATGCTTAAATAGATTTTGTCTTAAAACTAAGAATACAAATCAATTTAGCTACCAGCTACTCAAATAAGTGTAGCACTATTTAAAAGATAAGTGCTCTCCATGTGACATTGCATGCCTAAATATATTTATATACTGTAATGACGTTGGTAATTCCTTATTTAATATGCATGTGTAATGTATATATGAACCTGTGTTTATCTAAGCCCGGCATTAAATACAAGACTTATTACATGGTGGTAGCGATTAGGAAAAGTTTGTTCTTATCGAATGGCAGAAGGATTTTCCAGGCCAACACGACTCTCGTTTGAAGGCAACGTTGCTGAGAATTGGCGTCGCTTCAAACAGAACTATGAAATATACATTGTTGCTGCAGGACATAGTCGGAAATCAAAGAAAGAAAAGTCATGCATCCTCTTAAATCTAGCTGGCAAAGATGCAGTTGAAAGATATAATTCTTTTACCTACAACGAAGAGGAAGACAAAGACGATCCAGAAATTCTAGTGAAGAAATTTGAAGAAATTTGTATGCCGCTTAAGATTTTAACATTCGAAAGACATTTATTTCATACAAGGAAGCAAAGTCCGTCAGAGTCGATTAGTTCCTTTGTTACAGATTTGAAAAACATTGCTCGAAAGTGCGAGTTTGGTGACCTCGAGAGCAAACTTTTTAAAGATCGTATTGTGTGTGGGATTAACAGTGATGCAGTAAGAAGATTCTCCTTCGCGAAACAAGTTTAACTTTAGACAAGGCTCTAAACATATGCAGTGCAAACGAATTGTCGGAACAACAAGTAAAAGATCTTACTAATTATCAAGATGTCGATGAACTGAAGGCTAGGAAGAATTTGAAAACCTCAAGAGGAAGTTACACAAACTTAAGTCAAACAAAAGAAGATAAACATCGAGGACAAAGATTCGTATTAAAGAACAATTGCAGAAACTGTGGAGGAAAACATCTTCCAAAGCAATGCCCAGCTTTTGGAAAAATTTGCCACAAATGTCATAAGAAAAACCACTTTGCTCGGGTGTGTCTAACGTCTACACAAAAGTCACAAAGAGCAGTTCATGAAGTTAGTGATGAAGAATTGTTTATTGGTGCTGTTAATGCAATCACACCTACGCAAGAACGCACAAGCTCGAAAGTCGACTATCGAATGAATATTGAAGCTGTAGAAAAAAACAATGACGAGTGGTATTCTGAACTCAAATTTGGCAGACATTTGGTGAACGTGAAGGTGGATACAGGCGCAAAATGTAATGTGCTTTCTAAAAAATTGTTCGACAAAGTCAGAGAAGCTGAGCAACAAGTTACCAAAACAAATACAAAGCTAATGTCGTATAGTGGAGATTCAGTTCAAACCTTGGGACAAGCAGTGATGACGTGTTCTTACAAAGACAAACGATACAATCTTCTTTTCTATATAGCGACACACGATGTAAAGCCTATTCTTGGTTTACCTGATTGCGAGCGTTTGGGTATGGTGAAAAGAATTAAAGATGTCAAACCTATTTTCACTAGGGACGATATTCTCAATAAATATGCAGATCTCTTCGATGGCAAACTAGGATGTTTACCCATTAAACATCATATCAGTGTCAATCCAAATGTAAAACCTACAATTCATCCTCCTCGACGTGTTCCAGTAGCTATGAGAACGAAAATTAAAGAACAGTTAGAACGAATGCAACAGATGGGTGTCATCAATCCTGTAGAAAAACCTACGGAATGGGTTTCGTCAATGGTAACAGTGGAAAAACCTAGTTGAAATTTACAAAGAAATTGATATAATTGTTTTCATATAACACTATTTCTACTAAAGCTCGACAATTTAAATTCTCAGTAGACAACAAAAGTTTCACAGTGCAACCAGAATATTTTCCAGTGAACAACAAATCATGTTCAGAAATTTTATTTCAAGAAAACAAAGAATACGGAAAGTAGAAAAATGCGTGATCCGATATCAGGATTATACATAATGCAGTAAAACGTTCACTGATATAAAATTTTTTATTGAACAAGCTTTCAGCTGTCTGTTCACAGCCTTCGACGGCTTTGAAAACTTTCAGCTACATTATTCATTAAGAGAAATATTAACATTGTTAAAAATTTATATCAAATATGGCATTACTTTGCTAAAAGCTGTGACTGTATAGATTACAAATATTTATTAGTAAGCCAGGTGCCTTACTATCTGTCAATTTTTTATTTTAGTATTACTTTTAAAGAGCCTTCACCAAGAGAACTAGAAAATTTGTTTATTTTTTCACATTTCAAGCAACATTTTTCTTCTATATATTTTCCTTGAAGAACTGCACTACTTTAATAACCAGAACTGATTTTTTTGTTTTACTTGAGATAAGCGTTTTTACGGCAGAGAGTTTCAGTAAAAACGGCTATAGCTGCTCTTATTGCACTTTAAATGATTTCGAGCATGTCATTACTGACCATAGTGACGTTAATTTTTAAGAACAGTCCAACTATTCTGAATAATCCAACAAATCTAAAACAGATTTTTACTAATAAAATATAATACGCGTAACTTTCAAATCGACGTTCCAAGCAAGTGATTAACAAGTCGAGTCAAGATGAGGGAAGGCAGCACTAAAAAATAGAAAGCTTAATGCCAAAGAAGACCGTAGTGGCGTTGTCCCAGGTTTTCAACAATAAATGTGTCAAGAGAGAAATTAGAATAATTAAATTACGTTTTGCCAATTAAATAAATGGATAAAGTCACAAGATGGTGAAAGATTTGTGCGATTGACCGCTGCCTCTGTAAACAAAAAACCTTATTAAATTGTGACTTGGGACAAAACGAGGCTGCGACTCTAGCTGATTAAAAAGGAAAATGCATAATTACTCGTCACTTTGGGGACCTTAGTATTCAAAATGGAATAACTATTTTTTTCGTAAAATATACATGGAGTCACATGACCTATTTGACATGTCCTAGATCCGCCCCTACTTATATGAAAATACAACATACACAGCGTTTCTCCAAAAATAAACGAATCCCACTCAAACACTTATGTATGCACTAAAATGAAATCTGCAGAAGATCATTTAGACTGCAACAGCTATTTGTTTTGCCTAGTTAATTTAAAAACATGATCTTCCGTGTTTGTAGCAACTAATGGAAAATGTGATTATGTTTTTGTAGCCATTATAATTCAGTTATAATGTTGCTTTAATGTTACAAAGCTTTTGTGTGGTAAATTTGAGAAGAAAATCAGTGTATAAAGTACTTTTGAATTATTTTGCTTTAAATACTTTACAAGCTCTATAAAATCTCAAGTGTGCAGAAATTTCAAGCTCAATAAACTATTTTGAATGCTAGTAATGTTATTGCCCATGATCACTTTATTAACTTCATATTTGATTTACTCTGTAAAGACACTCTGTAGACAAAAGATCAAGAAACTTTATTTCCACAATCATTCCTTTTTAAAGGTAATCAAAAACGATGCCGTGATTCTCTCACTATATCTGGTGGAACTTCAAAACAATTTTGTAATAACAAGCGCTCCGTGACATTTTCACCTTACACTAGTGTTGTGGTTTTGACTTTTAATGCTCATTTGAATCAACGTTTTAAAGGCTTTGCTCTTGAATTTACATCATCGAGAAGTAAGTGGTATTCAGGTTGTGTAAAAGAAGTTGACCCTAAGTACTTTAAAAGAATTATTCCAAGTACTTTAAAATTCTAAGGCTTAACTTTAAATGAACTGTGCTGTACAAACTATCAAAAATTCAAGGAATTTAGAGAAAGCGCTGGCTAACGCAAAATCTTTTAAACTCAATTTTTGTGTTTGTGCTTTTTAAAAGAAAATTTTATTACGTACATCGTGTCAACTGAATTAAATATACGCATTTCAGAGATTTTTATAAAGTACAATATAAAATTAGAAAGCCGATTCCCAAAGGTAAAAATATGATGTATTAAAACTTAGAATAAAATGGCAAAAAACGCTCAAAAATCTTTAATAGTTTTAAAGATCTCGCGTTGTCCAGCGCTTGCCCAAAGGTTTTTGATTTAGGCCAAGTAAATTGATTTTCTGATGTTTTTTCTGTGCGCAAGGCCTGTTTTGAAAGACTTTCAATAGTGTATATTTCACTGGAAAAACGTCTTGTATTTTTAAAAATTTCATTGCCGGTTGTACCAGAGAACGTTAAAGTACTTAAAATAACCAACAAAAGTTTTTGCTAAGTCCGCACGCGTCTTGTTTAACAGAACTTTTTTTTATAGTATCTACATTTTTTGATACACCCTGTCTATAGAGGGTTCAAACTAACGATTGTGTGTTCTTTGCCTTGTTGATTGCTTTCGTGTTTACCTTTATGAGCAATATTAGAGTTAGCTTTTTGGAAGTTGTCTATCTCTTTGATAATCGATCAAAATGAACTTTGTAATGCCTAATTGTAGTAGTTTACTTTTCTATGTTTTGGTTTGAATGGGAAAGTTTCTACCGTTTTAAAGTTAATGTCGTAGTCATAAATTTCTGTTTTGTCTTTAGATAAGAGCCGACCACCTGCATTTAGTGTTTGCTACAATAAGACAATATACAGTGCTGTGGGTCGTATTTACTCACCTGGATTCCCATTTGGCTACAACCCTAGTTTAACATGCAGTGTTACTATAATGATTCCTGAAGACAAATCCTTGGAAGTTGTCCTTAACTTTATTGACATATATAGGTGTAAGTTAACTTAAAAAGAACAATTTTTTAATGAATTTTTTCAATATATTCATTAAAATGTTATTGTTTATGTTCATATACAATAAGTTAATAATTTGTCAATTTATTTTCAAAATTTCTAAGTTTTTTTTGTGGATAAACTAGAGTGAAAAAATATCCAGTACGAAATTTTGAAATGATTTGTTTTAATAGATTATTATTACTACGATGGGTGTCATGACGGAGAGTTGATCATCTCAGATGGAACATATTCTAATTCTACATGTGGAAAGTCATTTGTTAATAGTCGTCCAATTTTCTTTACTAAAGAAAATATTAATGTCAGTTTTCGTTCTTCTTACTGGCGTAACAGCTTATCAGGCTTTTTCTTGACATTTAGAGTTGTTGATGCAATGGGTATGAATAATTACATTTCAAAAATACTTCTTACTAAAAGGCTTTCTATAACATTGCAATGTGTACATTATACTCAGTTTGTAACCGCTGTATTTTAGATATTCAATGTACATTTGAAAACGACCTGTGCAATTTTACAAAGATCGGAGGGTGGCAACGAGTTTCTGGATCATATTTGGGTAACTTTTCAATTGTCGATCATACTATTGGCAATGCCTATGGTGAGTAACTGTTATATTGTGTCTCTTTGTCCACTCTCGTATTAATCGCTGGCGCACTAAAAAAGATTGATTCAACTCAATGAAATTACTAAAATAAACGTAATACTGGACCAGTTTCGAAAATAGATAGTCCATTGAGTTAAAAATGATAGTTAATTAAAATCTGACACAAAACTTTTTATCCTGTGAGTACGACTCATAATCATGAACCAACAAAAAGATATCTTTGATAAGCACTGCGCCAATCTATTCGAGTTTATGTGACATCTAGCATTAAAATCGTGACACCTAAAAGCTAAGTTAAATATTGTATATTTGACGGTTTTTATCTACTCTCAGCGGCATGCTGGCACTGGAGAAGTTGGCCATTGCACCCCTAACGATTGTTCTTTTGAGGAAGAAGAAGGGAATATAGGGAGTCGAATTTTGTATGGTGGGTTACCTGCGCAAGTCAACAAAATGACATTCCATGGCTTTTAATTTACAGGGGAGTATTTTCTTGGAGACCCCCTAGTAAGACTTGAACCTATCTTGCCTGGTTCTGGCGTTTGGCTGTAATTTCTAAAGTATTTTAATTATATGGAGTGGGGCATTTTATGTAGAACGTAATTGCCCCCCAGTAACAATTAGAACCTCACTGCCTACTTTATACTAAATGGCTAAGAGTAGGGCCATATACCTCAAAGTATGTTAAATTTAATTTTATAGTATATTCAGGAAATTATTATTAGAGTGGGATTAATTTATGATTTTTAATGTGCTCCTTTGTTTTACATTTATAAAGGAGATAACGACAGAAAATACTATTTTGGCTATTTGTAAGGTTTTACGAAGCATTTCATGTGGATTTAGAACAATTCTTTTTGGGGTTACATTCCATAGTTTGTTGTCTGCCAAGTTCTGCATACTTTTCAGTTTGAATAAACACAAAAAACAATGGTTCGAAGAATTCCAGAAATACAGTGTCAACAACCAAAACAAGTGTCCGATTTATTCCGGAAGGAGTTGCCGTAAGATTGGAGACAATACTTTCCAGATTATCCCAAAAATTTTCTTCCTAAACCAAAAATAATCTAAAATATCTCAAATGAGTTTAAGTGCATGTTTTCTTATTAGTCCAGTTTGAAAACTTTTAAAATCTTGCTTAAAACGCTGTCAAACTCCATCTAAAGCTTCGTGATTGAAGCTTGCCTGAACAGCGGATTTTAGCAAACTTCATTTAGAAATGATTGTAAAACTGCAGAATCTGTATTTTATGTCGTATTGTACATCAAGTATCCTCTGAAATTACGTAATCATAATTGCGTTGATCGATTGCGAAAGACATCAAATTATTGAAATTTCAATGGTGAAATACTTGAAGAACTGCAGGTTTTTAAAAGTAGAAACAAGTGAATTTACACTTTCTATGATACATTTTGTTAATTTATCCTGGTAAAATGTAGCGCCAAATGGGGGGCAACGAAACTGAACAATAATCGGCAACAGAACACGGCCTAAAATGAAATCAAGAAATATCATCGATAATTTGACGTTGTGTTTTGCAAAATTCTGCAGCTTCCTTTGCTTGAGAGAAGTTGGCATCGGAATTTGTCATTTGGAAGTATTTGGCTTTCATACTTCTACTTATACTACTTGTAACACTACCCTCTTGCTTGTATTAAAAAACCACCTAATGTTTTGATCAATTAAATAGTCCAATCTTAAAAGCTGGGGTTGTTGCTCAAGTTAAAATACCTGTAAAAATCAATCGTCTTCAGCTTGTTTTTTTTGCGAAACTTCCTGATGTTTGGATTATTTTTTTCCACTAATTTTCTTATAATAAGTAATTTATTTTTTCTCTGAATAGCTTTTTCTCGTTGCGTAAAAAATAATATTGCCAAATTTTTTCATTCACATACGACCTTTTATGTTATAAAAACGTTTTAGTTTTAACATGATAATACTGAACTTATAATGAAGAAAAAAAAGGACACCATTTTATCGTTCAAATATCAAATTTTTACCAAGGTCACTTTGTCACTATGGAAACAACTAGTCTTGAACGTCAGAAAAATGGAACTGTTAAAAGGAACCTCCCTGCACATGGCAATTTAGCGTGCTTGACCTACTGGTATCGAAGCTTTGGTTACACATCAAACATTTTGAAGGTTTTTGTCATCGGAAATGGGAAAGAACTTGCCTTAGAGAAAAGGTTGTTGGGCATAGAAACATCTTGGAAAAAAGGCAACTTGACGATTTATGTAAACCATAGTCGTTTTTCTGTAAGTAGCATGTACACATTATTTACAATTTAAAAATGTTCCAAAATTCATCTTTTACTTAATGTCCCCAAAACAAAAGCACGTGGCAGTCAAAAGTTGTTTTTAGACAAAACAAATTACTCAATTTATACGAAACATTAGTTCTAGTGTTATATACAAGTTAGCCATTAAAATCATAAATTTTATTGGTCTTAGTTAGTGTTTTAAATGTCTAAAACAGGATAAATGAACTTGTTTTCTTCAAAATTTTACCTCCTTGCTAGCCAGAAATCTAGGTAATAGGTAATATATCAGTGTAGAAGTAGCTAGTATTTGGCATTTATTAGTAGGAAAAGTAACACCTGGCGTTTAAATTAGCACTGCACCTTTATAGAAAAGCTAATGCTGTTGAGATGATGACGTTTCCTGTTGAATTAAAATTTGAATGCCAAAAATTTACAAGAATATATTAATTCACAATATACACGAGAAAATTCTCGCTATTCTTTTTTCATGATGCACTTTACAGTAGAAGAACAAATCTATTTTATAATATGCTCACACCTGACTTAAATAATTTATCAACAGATAATTTTTGAAACTATGGTAAACTCATATCCTGGTTATATTGCTTTGGATGATATTTTTGTTGACCTTGGCGAATGTCTCAATCCCGGTGAGATTTTGTTTATGATATATTATATAATGATCACACAAACGACTGCTTCAACAGTTGGAGCGATATTATAGTTGCTAAGTTTATATTATTTGCATTATTCAAGTAACGAGTCAATTATTGTTTGTTTTTTTTTTGAGTATAAAAAATTTCAAAATCTTTTTAAATAGTTTTATTTGCTATTTTCTGCTTTTTCAAAGATTTGAAGATATTAATTGTAAATATCAATCAACATTTGTTAATTTTATTACTGTTTTAACGTCAAATGTTTTACCTAGTTTCAAAATGAATAATTGACCGAAAGTTAATTTCCTAAAACACAACTTTTATCATAGCTACCACACTAAAATTTTTTTCAAAACAGGTGACTGTAACTTTGAAAACGGAATTAGTAACTCAAAATGCCCGTGGAAAAATGTTGGATTTCCCCTTGATAATTTTGATTGGATTGTCCATTCTGGCTCCACACCATACTATGGTAGTGGTCCCAACTTTGACAGAAAAGGGTCCACAATCGGTGGGTGTTATATGTTCATTTTAGTTCCTTTAATTATAACGTGCTGCATTATTTAGATTAGTTGCTATATTTCAAGCAAGTTGATGAGACGTATAAACTTATAAGAATGTTGCAAAATAGATAAATCTCTCTACAATGATATTTTTCTAATTTTAAATTTCACAATTAAATAGGAAAGTACATTTATATGGGAAGATATTATGGATCTATGGGTTCTAAAAGCTGGTTGGTTAGCGACTATTTCAATACATCAGCAAAGTGTTTTACGTTCTGGTATCATATGTATGGATCAACTGTTGGTTCCCTCAATATATACGAACAATCTATTGGAGAAGAAATGAAACCTGTATGGACTTTGAGTGGTAATAAAGGAAATGTCTGGATCAGGGGACAAGTAACAGTGAATTTTGGTGTTGGATTGAAGTCTAGGGTAAGTATTCTAGAGAATTAAGTAAAGGCCTTTAGTCTCGATGAATTTTTTAACTGGAAGTCTTGCTTAACAATTTAGCCGGCCATAACAATTGTTGTTTGAAGCTTGTGTAGCATAAATTATACATAAATCCAATAAATCTATTGAGATCTTGTTTATTGTTAGCAGCATTGTTTCTTTCACATATCAAACATGTCCATAGGCTATGAAATAGAAGCATATGAAATTTTTTGTACAACCTCTCTGTTATTTTCGAACTAACAATAAAAATCTGCAAACATTCTCTTCGCTAGTGAATAAAATAAAATTAACTCCAAAAAAATCATTGATCATACTAAATGACATCATGGTTGATGTCAAAAACTCAGTTTTTACAATGATCAACAAATCGAAGACGTAATTTGTCTTTTTTCGCAATTAATGACTAAGTAACTGAAAATACTAAAGACAAAGTGAAATTTATGAGTCCAAGAGAGAGGGATGCAATATTAAAACACAAACACATCATACACTAACTAAACATTGTGCCAATAAAAAGCATTGCCCTTTTAGCATAAGTATAACAAACAACACACACCTGCTACTTTTCTTTCATTTCGAACAAATAACTGCTTAACAAAGCCAAATGCTGGAACTGAAGGACAATGTTAAATACTTCGACCCTAAATGTCCTCTCCTCGTAGTCTTTGGGAGTTTTCATGACGAATTCAACAAAATACAATAGATTGTGTTGCTCTTTTCATTCTTTCTCCTGCTTAACATAAAGTATAATTCGTGGACAAAAACAGTCCTTTTTAGGACTATACTAACCTGGACGATCTACATCTACAAACATGTAACGATACTCCAGGGTTCACACCATTTACTTTATTACGATCATTTGGATGACTGAGCGAACAACTTGCTAACGACTACATACGTTTTGCAAGCAACGTCAGACGCATACGCCAACAACTCTGATTTAACCACCTCTGCAAGGACGTAAGAACCAAATAAAAATACGGCTAACCTCACGTATATTCCTCGTTTGACTTTGAAGATGACTTCCGCTAAGGTTGTCTAAACTTCAGTCAACAACAACAAAATCAGTCCTTCTCAGTACTGTACTAACATGGACGATCTACATCTACAAACATTTAACGATCTACACATCTTCTGCCCTGTTGACGCCGCCATATTAAATACTCATACTGGCCTTAAGATCGAACATGTAACATGTACATACGTCAGCATCTGTGTGTAATGTACCTATGCGTTGATGTACTACCTCAATATAGTCGCTTTGACATCCCATGCAACAATGTATAAATAAATTAAATGAAGAATAAATGCATAAAATATTCATAATGTATAAATAAACAAATATAATTCCTGAATTAAATAAATGCATAAAACATTAATAATGTATAAATAAACAAATATAATTCCTGATAAATTGACTTTCAAATTTTTACTATTGCATTCATAAGATTATTGTTGTACCGCGTTTAAAAAAAGGAGTTAATGTAAACGTTAATATTTTGCCTTTAGATAATCGTCGAAGGAGTTAGAGGATTTACTAGCTCTAGTTATATCGCTCTTGACGACTTTAAATTTTTTGATGGACCTTGTGATATTCTTCCGCTTAATGCAACACCTCCACGTGAGTTTTTAATTATTTTTTTTTATTTACAAGTAGAAACATACAATATTAAGATGAACTCAATAAAGGACTACTGTTTACATTAGTGCATTTTTTAACCGACATTTTCTTTAAAGCTGATACCTGTAATACAATACATAATAGTAATAATAAGTTGACTAAGCTTATTGTGAGTACTGTTTTTAGTGAAACACCTTTATCATGTTTTTCCTTTCTCAACTTAGTAAGCATATCATATAAAACAGTATCTATAAAACTTCCACTCACTTCCACAAACGAGAACTAACAGAAGGAATACAATTTAAAACACAATCAAATTTTTATCAAAATTTATATATTACACATTTGTTGAGACGTTTCCATTGGTCAATTGACTTCTGCAATAAATAAAAAATTCACCAACAGGAAAAATAGCTACTAGTTTCAGGAAAAAATGCCTAATGTAAAAAAATATGACTTGGCAAAAAGTTAGTAATGTGACGACATAAAAATGAAGTAGAGGCAAAACAGAACAAACATTCCTTAAATAATATACAAGAAAGCTTACTAAATTTTTTTATTATTTTTTTAGGAGAAAGTTTTACATTTACATGATATATTTCTATATTAAAGCGCTAAATTATTTTTTTGTCAACAAACACCGCATCTTTAATTATTTAGGTAACAGATAAGGACATAATTAATGACATAAAATAAAATTTGAGCAACAGCTTTTTTCTAGGTTTTTACCTATGCAAACATCCCCCCTCCTTTTTTTTAAAAATTGACTATTTAGCCTTCAAACGAATTAAAGATAACAAACAAGAAAAAGGCTCTCCTTCTTTTGCTAAGATGGAGAGTATATATATTCTTTTAATCTAGAAGATATGCAATTCAAAAGTTATTTTTTTATTAACGCTCATTTTATATTTAATACAGGTTTTGGTATCCCAATCAATATTTGTCCATCACGAACTATTACACTGTCTAAAGGACATATTGTGTCACCAAATTACTATCCATATTATTCTTTCTACGCAAGTTGCACATTGACAATCAGACAACCTCTTAACACAGTCCTCAACTTTAGCTTTTCGTACATCTCTCTTGACTCCTTCGTAAGCGGTGAGTACTTACAAAAATTTATTATTATTGTTATTATTATTATTCGTGTTTGTTAAAACAATCTTTATTGAAAATTTTCAAAAATACAAACATCAAACCCGGTCTGCATTCACTTTTCACAAAAAGCTTTTTATTTATTATAGGCACAAGTATGCTTAAATAGATTTTGTCTTAAAACTAAGAATACAAATCAATTTAGCTACCAGCTACTCAAATAAGTGTAGCACTATTTAAAAAATAAGTGCTCTCCATGCAAAAATCTTTTTTTGATATAAAGTGTTTACATATGACGTCAAAACGCCCATGTTAAAGGTTTAAATATTTTTGTATAATCCATAATCCGGTGCCTAAAATGGCATAAAATTAACACAATTTTCTTCTTTATATGGTATTTCCCAAACATGGCGACTGATACTAATACTCAATAACTACATACAACTGCGCTTCCAAAGTGTTGCGCACTTAAAATTACATCAAACCCATTTACAAGATACTCCAAAAGACGTTTCCACGTCTATGAATAAAACAACTCTTATAATAATAATAATAATAAATAGTTATTATATATTTCTGCATTTTATTTACACGAAAAAATCTGATGTTTTTCTAGTTGAAATTTGCAAAGAAATTGATATAATTGTTTTCATATAACACTATTTCTGCTAGAGCTTGACAAATTAAATTCTCGGTAGACAACAAAATTTTCACAGTGCAACCAGAATATTTTCCAGTGAACAACAAATCATGTTCAGAAATTTTATTTCAAGAAAACAAAGAATACGGAAAGTAGAAAAAATGCGTGATACGATATCAGGATTATACATATTGCAGTAAAACGTTCACTGATATAAAATTTTTTATAATTTCGTAAAAGCACTATTGCCAATACACATTTAATATACACGACAACTTTTTTGAAAATAGACATGTTTCGACATCTCATGATGCCATCTTCAGTATGAATGAAATAATAGGTGATACAGGGTTTATATAAAAGTAATATGACACCTTCTTAAATCTCACTCATGCAAAACCAACTATTCACCCTCTTGTTTCAAAATCATCGACACTGCCGACACCTCATTCACCCTTAAAATCAAAGAAGCACTCCACATTAACAAAACTAACTCTGACCTCAATGTTCAAGTTTTTAAATTCAATACAATGTTTAGTTTATAATACGCTCGGACGCTCCTCATTATATTATCTTATTTCCTTTTTATTGTTCTAATTTATGTATCATATTACTTTTATATAAACCCTGTATCACCTATTATTTCATTCATACTGAAGATGGCATCATGAGTTGTCAAAATATGTCTTTTTTCAAAAAAGTTGTCGTGTATATAAAATTTTTTATTGAACAAGCTTTCAGCTGTCTGTTCACAGCCTTCGACGGCTTTGAAAACTTTCAGCTACATTATTCATTAAGAGAAATATTAACATTGTTAAAAAATTATATCAAATATGGCATTACTTCGCTAAAAGCTGTGACTGTATAGATTACAAATATTTATTAGTAAGCCAGGTGCCTTACTATCTGTCAATTTTTTATTTTAGTATTATTTTTAAAGAGCCTTCACCAAGAGAACTAGAAAATTTGTTTATTTTTTCACATTTCAAGCAACATTTTTCTTCTATATATTTTCCTTGAAGAACTGCACTACTTTAATTACTAGAACTGATTTTTTTGTTTTACTTGAGATAAGCGTTTTTACGGCAGAGAGTTTCAGTAAAAACGGCTGTAGCTGCTCTTATTGCACTTTAAATGATTTCGAGCATGTCATTACTGACCATAGTGACGTTAATTTTTAAGAACAGTCCAACTATTCTGAATAATCCAACAAATCTAAAACAGATTTTTACTAATAAAATATAATACGCGTAACTTTCAAATCGACGTTCCACGCAAGTGATTAACAAGTCGAGTCAAGATGAGGGAAGGCAGCACTAAAAACTAGAAAGCTTAATGCCAAAGAAGACCGTAGTGGCGTTGTCCCAGGTTTTCAGCAATAAATGCGTCAAGAGAGAAATTAGAATAATTAAATTACGTTTTGCCAATTAAATAAATGGATAAAGTCACAAGATGGTGAAAGATTTGTGCGATTGACCGCTGCCTCCGTAAACAAAAAACCTTATTAAATTGTGACTTGAGACAAAACGAGGCTGCGACTCGAGCTGATTAAAAAGGAAAATGCGTAATTACTCGTCACTTTGGGGACCTTAGTATTCAAAATGGAATAACTATTTTTTTCGTAAAATATACATAGAGTTACATGACCTATTTGACATGTCCTAGATCCGCCCCTACTTATATGAAAATACAACATACACAGCGTGTCTCCAAAAATAAACGAATCCCACTCAAACACTTATGTATGCACTAAAATGAAATCTGCAGAAGATCATTTAGACTGCAACAGCTATTTGTTTTGCCTAGTTAATTTAAAAACATGATCTTCCGTGTTTGTAGCAACTAATGGAAAATGTGATTATGTTTTTGTAGCCATTATAATTCAGTTATAATGTTGCTTTAATGTTACAAAGCTTTTGTGTGGTAAATTTGAGAAGAAAATCAGTGTATAAAGTACTTTTGAATTATTTTGCTTTAAATACTTTACAAGCTCTATAAAATCTCAAGTGTGCAGAAATTTCAAGCTCAATAAACTATTTTGAATGCTAGTAATGTTATTGCCCATGATCACTTTATTAACTTCATATTTGATTTATTCTGTAAAGACACTCTGTAGATAAAAGATCAAGAAACTTTATTTCCACAATCATTCATTTTTTAAAGGTAATGAAAAACGATGCCGTGATTCTCTCACTATAACTGGTGGAACTTCAAAACAATTTTGTAATAACAAGAGCTCCGTGACATTTTCACCTTACACAAGTGTTGTGGTTTTGACTTTTATTGCTCATTTGAATCAACGTTTTAAAGGCTTTGCTCTTGAATTTACATCATCGAGAAGTAAGTGGTATTCAGTGTGTGTAAAAGAAATTGACCCTAAGAAAACGTTCTCCAAAACAAGACGCGCATAGACTAAGCAAAAACTTTTATGTAATTATTCCAAGTACTTTAAAATTCTAAGACTTAACTTTACACGGACTGTGCTGTACAAACTGTCAAAATTTCAAGGAATTTAGAGAAAGCGCTGGCTAACGCAAAATCTTTTAAACTCAATTTTTGTGTTTGTGCTTTTTAAAAGAAAATTTTATTACGTACATCGTGTCAACTGAATTAAATATACGCACTTCAGAGATTTGCATAAAGTACATTATAAAATTAGAAAGCCGATTCCCAAAGGTAAAAATATGATGTATTAAAACTTAGAATAAAATGGCAAAAAACGCTAAAAAATCTTGAATAGTTTTAAAGATCTCGCGTTGTCCAGCGCTTTCCCAAAGGTTTTTGATTTAGGCCAAGTAAATCGATTTTCTGATGTTTTTTCTGTGCCCAAGGCCTGTTTTGAAAGACTTTTAATAGTGTATATTTCACTGGAAAAACGTCTGCATTTTTAAAAATTTCATTGCCAGCTGTATCAGAGAGCGTTAAAGTACTAAAATACCCAACAAAAGTTTTTGCTTAGTCCGCACGCGTCTTGTTAAAGAGAACTTTTCTTATAGTATCTACTCTTTTTGATACACCCTGTCTATAGAGGGTTCAAACTAACGATTGTGTGTTCTTTGCCTTGTTGATTGCTTTCGTGTTTACCTTTATGAGCAATATTAGAGTTAGCTTTTTTGAAGTTGTCTATCTCTTTGATAATCGATCAAAATGAACTTTGTATTGCCTAATTGTAGTAGTTTACTTTTCTATGTTTTGGTTTGAATGGGAAATTTTCTCCGTTTTAAATTTAAAGTCGTAGTCATAAATTTCTGTTTTGTTTTTAGATAAGAGCCGACCACCTGCATTTAGTGTTTGCTACAATAAGACAATATACAGTGCTGTGGGTCGTATTTACTCACCTGGATTCCCATTTGGCTACAACCCTAGTTTAACATGCAGTGTTACAATAGTGATTCCTGAAGACAAATCCTTGGAAGTTTTCCTTAACTTTATTGACATATATAGGTGTAAGTTAACTTAAAAAGAACAATTTTTTAATGAATTTTTTCAGTATATTCATTAAAATTTTTGAGAACGTTATTGTTTATGTTCATATACAATAAGTTCATAATTTGTCAATTTATGTTTATACTTTCTAAGTTTTTTTGTGTATAAACTAGAGTAGAAAATATCCAGTACGAAATATTGAAAGGACTTGTTTTATTAGATTATTATTACTACGATGGGTGTCGTGACGAAGAGTTGATCATCTCGGATGGAACATATTCTAATTCTACATGTGGAAAGTCATTTGTTAATAGTCCTCCAATTTTCTTTACTAAAGAAAATATTAATGTCAGTTTTCGTTCTTCTTACTGGCGAAACAGCTTATCAGGGTTTTTGTTGACATTTAGAGTTGTTGATGCAATGGGTATGAATAATTACATTTCTATAATACTTCTTACTAAAAGGTTTTCTATAACATTGCAATGTGTACATTATACTCAGTTTGTAACCGCTGTATTTTAGATATTCAATGTACATTTGAAAACGACCTGTGCAATTTTACAAAGATCGGAGGGTGGCAACGAGTTTCTGGATCATATTTGGGTAACTTGTCAATTGTCGATCATACTATTGGCAATGCCTATGGTGAGTAACTGTTATATTGTGTCTCTTTGTCTACTCTCGTCTTAATCGCTGTCGCACTAAAAAAGATTGATTCAACTCAATGAAATTGCTAAATAAATGTAATACTGGACCAGTTTCCAAAATAGATAGTCCATTGAGTTAAAAATGATAGTTAATTAAAATCTGACAGAAAACTTTTTATCCTGTGAGTACGACTCATAATCATGAACCAACAAAAAGATATCTTTGATAAGCACTGCGCCAATCTATTCGAGTTTATGTGACATCTAGCATTAAAATCGTGACACCTAAAAGCTAAGTTAAATATTGTATATTTGACGGTTTTTATCTACTCTCAGCGGCATGCTGGCACTGGAGAAGTTGGCCATTGCACCCCTAACGATTGTTCTTTTGAGGAAGAAGAAGGGAATATAGGGAGTCGAATTTTGTAGGGTGGGTTATCTGCGCAAGTCAACAAAATGACATTCCATGGCTTTTTGATTTACAGGGGAGTATTTTCTTGGAGACCCCCTAGTAAGACTTGAACCTATCATGCCTGGTTCTGGCGTTTGGCTGTAATTTCTAAAGTATTTTAATTATATGGAGTGGGGCATTTTATGTAGAACATGATTGCCCCCAGGTAACAATTTTCTTAGAACCTCACTGCCTACTTTATACTAAATGGCTACGAGTAGGGCCATATACCTCAAAGTATGTTAAATTTAATTTTATAGTATATTCAGGAAATTATTATTAGAGTGGGATTAATTTATGATTTTTAATGTGCTCCTTTGTTTTACATTTATAAAGGAGATAACGACAGAAAATACTATTTTGGCTATTTGTAAGGTTTTACGAAGCATTTCATGTGGATTTAGAACAATTCTTTTTGGGGTTACATTCCATAGTTTGTTGTCTGCCAAGTTCTGCATACTTTTCAGTTTGAATAAACACAAAAAACAATGGTTCGAAGAATTCCAGAAATACAGTGTCAACAACCAAAACAAGTGTCCGATTTATTCCGGAAGGAGTTGCCGTAAGATTGGAGACAATACTTTCCAGATTATCCCAAAAAAATTTTCTTCCTAAACCAAAAATAATCTAAAATATCTCAAATGAGTTTAAGTGCATGTTTTCTTATTAGTCCAGTTTGAAAACTTTTAAAATCTTGCTTAAAACGCTGTCAAACTCCATCTAAAGCTTCGTGATTGAAGCTTGCCTGAACAGCGGATTTTAGCAAACTTCATTTAGAAATGATTGTAAAACTGCAGAATCTGTATTTTATGTCGTATTGTACATCAAGTATCCTCTGAAATTACGTAATCATAATTGCGTTGATCGATTGCGAAAGACATCAAATTATTGAAATTTCAATGGTGAAATACTTGAAGAACTGCAGGTTTTTAAAAGTAGAAACAAGTGAATTTACACTTTCTATGATACATTTTGTTAATTTATCCTGGTAAAATGTAGCGCCAAATGGGGGGCAACGAAACTGAACAATAATCGGCAACAGAACACGGCCTAAAATGAAATCAAGAAATATCATCGATAATTTGACGTTGTGTTTTGCAAAATTCTGCAGCTTCCTTTGCTTGAGAGAAGTTGGCATCGGAATTTGTCATTTGGAAGTATTTGGCTTTCATACTTCTACTTATACTACTTGTAACACTACCCTCTTGCTTGTATTAAAAAACCACCTAATGTTTTGATCAATTAAATAGTCCAATCTTAAAAGCTGGGGTTGTTGCTCAAGTTAAAATACCTGTAAAAATCAATCGTCTTCAGCTTGTTTTTTTTGCGAAACTTCCTGATGTTTGGATTATTTTTTTCCACTAATTTTCTTATAACAAGTAATTTAGTTTTTTTCTGAATAGATTTTTCCCGTTGCGTAAAAAATAATATTGCTAAATTTTTTCATTTACTTAGGACCTTTTATGTTATAAAAACGTTTTAGTTTTAACATGATAATACTGAACTTATAATGAAGAAAAAAAAAGGACACCATTTTATAGTTCAAATATCAAATTTTTACCAAGGTCACTTTGTCACTATGGAAACAACTAGTCTTGAACGTCAGAAAAATGGAACTGTTAAAAGGAACCTCCCTGCACATGGCAATTTAGCGTGCTTGACCTACTGGTATCGAAGCTTTGGTTACACATCAAACATTTTGAAGGTTTTTGTCATCGGAAATGGGAAAGAACTTGCCTTAGAGAAAAAGTTGTTGGGCATAGAAACATCTTGGAAAAAAGGCAACTTGACGATTTATGTAAACCATAGTCGTTTTTCTGTAAGTAGCATGCACACATTATTTACAGTTAAAAAATGTTTCAAATCCATCTTTTAATTAATCTCCCTAAAACCAAAGCACGTGCCAGTCAAAAGTTGTTTTCGGACAAAAAAAAATTAGATTAGTCATTTTATACAAAACATTAGTTCCAAGTGTTATATGCAAATTAGCCATTAAAATCATAAAGTTTATTGGTCTTAGTGCTCTAAGTGACTAAAACAGGATAAATAAACTTGTTATCTTCAAAATATATGCCTCCTTGGTAGCCAGGAATCTAGGTAATATGTCAGTGCAGAAGTAGCTACTATTTGCCGTTTAGTTGTAGAAAATTTTTGCTCTTGTTTTCTCACGATGCACTCTATAGTAGCATAACAACTCTCCACTATTCGAATTGTACGATAGAGCTTCCATGTCATAGTAGAGGGTAAGACAAACGAACTTGGCAGCTGGTCATTTAAATAATGCTGTCTCTTGAAAGACGCAGTAATGTCGTAAATTATTGAACTAAAAAATTGACATACAAAGCGACAAGTTTCCTCAAATCTTCTCTTTTTAAACTTTGTTATCGAATTTATCATATTATCATCTTGAGTTTGTAATGTCTCCATCTTGAAAAAGAGTATCGCTGTTTCTTCATTATAAGACCATTCTTACATTAAATTTACTGCTTTTTTGTTAAAGAAAATCTGAGCAATTCAACGCACATTAGTTCTTTATTCAATCGCACAAAAGGTCATTTCATATAGCAGTATCATTAGAAATAAAAATAAATTTTAAAATTAATAAATCTATTTTATGTTATGCTTGCACTTGACTTTAATAATTCATCAACAGATAATTTTTGAAGCTATGGTAAATTCATATCCTGGTTATATTGCTTTGGATGATATTTTTGTTGACGTTGGCGAATGCCTCAATCCCGGTGAGATTTTGTTTATGATATATTATACAATGAACACCAAAACGACTGCCAAAACGACTGCTATTTGCATTATTCAAGTAACGAGTCAATTATTGTTTATTTTTTATTTGAATACAAAAAATTTTAAAATCATTTTAAATAGTTTTATTTGGTATTTTCTGCTTTTTCAAAGAATTAAAGATATTTCTTGTAAATATAAATTAATATTCTTTAATTTTGTTATTGTTTTAACGTCAAATATTTTACCTAGTTTCAAAATAAATAATTTACCGAAAGTTCACTTCCTAAAACACAACTTTCATCATAGCTTCCACAGTAACGACTTTTTTCAAAACAGGTGACTGTAACTTTGAAAACGGAATTGGTAACTCAAATTGCCGGTGGAAAAATGTTGGATTTCCCCTTGATAATTTTGATTGGATTGTCCATTCTGGCTCCACACCATACTATGGTAGTGGTCCCAACTTTGACAGAAAAGGGTCCACAATCGGTGGGTGTTATATGTTCATTTTAGTTCCTTTAATTATAACGTGCTGCATTATTTAGATTAGTTGCTATATTTCAAGCAAGTTATTGAGACGTATAAACTTATAAGAATGTTGCAAAATAGATAAATCTCTCTACAATGATATTTTTCTAATTTTAAATTTCACAATTAAATAGGAAAGTACATTTATATGGGAAGATATTATGGATCTATGGGTTCTAAAAGCTGGTTGGTTAGCGACTATTTCAATACATCAGCAAAGTGTTTTACGTTCTGGTATCATATGTATGGATCAACTGTTGGTTCCCTCAATATATACGAACAATCTATTGGAGAAGAAATGAAACCTGTATGGACTTTGAGTGGTAACAAAGGAAATGTCTGGATCAGGGGGCAAGTAACAGTGAATTTTGGTGTTAGATTGAAATCTAGGGTAAGTATTCTATAGTATTAAGTAAAGGCCATTAGTCTCGATGAATTTTTTAACTGGAAGTCTTGCTTAACATATTTGCCGGCCATAACAATTGTTGTTTGAAGCTTGTGTAGCATAAATTATACATAAATCCAATAAATGTTTTGAGATCTTGTTTATTGTTAGCAGCATTGTTTCTTTCATGCATCAAACATGTCCATAGGCTCTGAAATAGAAGCATATGTAATTTGTTGTACAGCTTCTCTGTTTTTTTAAACTAACAATTATAATCTGCCAACATACTCTTTGCTAGTGAATACAATAAAATTAACTCCAAAAAAATCATTGATCATACTAAATGACATCATGGTTGATATCAATAAATTAAAGACGTAATTTGTTTTTCTTTTCGCAATTAATTCCATCTGTAACTGAAGATATTAAAGACAAAGTGAAATTGATGTGTCTAAGAGAGAGAGGGATGCAATATTAAAACACAAACACATCATACACTGACTAAGCATTGTGTTAACAAAAAGCATTGCCTTTTTAGTATAAATATAACAAACAACACACACCTGCTATTTTTCTTTCATTTTGAACAAATAACTGTTTAAAAAAGCCAAATCATGGAACTGAAAGACGTTGTGAAATACTTCGACCCTGAATGTCCTCTCGTCGTAGTCGTTACGAATTTTCATGACGAATTCAACAAAATACAATAGATTGTGTAGCTCTTTTCATTCTTTGTCTTGCTTAAGATAAAGTATAATTGGTGGACAAAAACAGTCCTTCTCAGGACTATACTAACCTGGACGATCTACATTTACAAACATGTAACGATACTCCCGGGTTCAAACCATTTACATTATTATGATCATTTGGACGACAGACCGACCAACTTGCTAACGACTACATACGTTTGCAAGCAACGTCAGACGCATTAGCCAACAACTATGGTTCAACCGCCGCTGTAAGGACGTCAGAACCAGATAAAAAATACGGCTAACCTGACGTTTATTCCTCATTTGGCTCTGAAGATGACTACCGCTAAGGTTGTCGAAATTTTAGTCAACAACAACAAAATCAGTCCTTCTCAGTACTGTACTAACATGGACGATCTACATCTACAAACATTTAATGATCTACACATCTTCTGCCATGTTGACGCCGCCATATTGGATACCAATACTGGCCTTAAGATCGAACATATAACATGTACATACGTCAGCATCTGTGTTTAATGTACCTATGCGTTGATGTACTACCTCAATATAGTCGCTTTGATATCACATGCAACAATGTATAAATAAGCAAATATGATTCTTGATAAATTGACTTTCAAATTTTTTTTATTGCAGTCATAAGATTATTATTGTACCGCGTTTAAAAAAAAGAGTTCATGCAAACGTTAATATTTTGCCTTTAGATAATCGTCGAAGGAGTTAGAGGATTTACTAGCTCTAGTTATATCGCTCTTGACGACTTTAAATTTTTTGATGGACCTTGTGATATTCTTCCGCTTAATGCAACACCTCCACGTGAGTTTTTAATTTATTTTTTTATTTGCAAGTAGAAACATACAATAATAAGATGAACTCAATAAGGGACTACTGTTTACATTAGTGCATTTTTTAACCGATAATTTTCTTTAAAGCTGATACCTGTAATACAATACATAATAGTAATATTAAGTTGACTAAGCTTATTGCGAGTAATGTTTTTAGTGAAACACCTTTATCATGTTTTTCCTTTCTCAACTTAGTAAGCATATCATATAAACAATATCTGTAAAATTCCACTCACTGTCCTCTTAACGGTTATGAGCAGCAAATGTTTAAGCGAATCACGGAGTTCCGAGAGGACAGTGAGTGGAAGGTTTACAAATAGTGTTCTATATGATATGCTTACTAAGTTGAGAAATGAAAAACATGATAAAGGTGTTTCACTAAAAACATTACTCGCAATAAGCTTAGTCAACTTATCATTACTATTATATTTCTGAATAGCGAGTGTAGCAATATTATTTGATTAAGACTATACATCGTCAAGCTACTAGCTTTTGTGCCCACGTCATTTTTGAAAGTTTTAAGAAAACGAGAACTAAAAGAATGAATACAATTTAAAACACAATCAAAAATTTTTATTAAAATTTATTGAACATTTGTTGAGACGTTTCCATTGGTCAATTGACTTCTGCAATAAATAAAAAATTCACCAACAGGAAAAATAGCTACTAGTTTCAGGAAAAAATCCCTAATGTAAAAAATATGACTTGGCAAAAAGTTAGTAATGTGACGACATAGAAATGAAATGGAGGCAAAAAAGAACAAACATTCCTTAAATAATATACAAGAAAGCTTACTAATTTTTTTTATGATTTTTTTAGAAGAAAGTTTTACATTTACATGATATATTTCTATATTAAAGCGCTGAATTATTTGTTTGTCAACAAACACCGCATTTTTAATTATTAACGTAACAGGTTAGGACATAATTAATGAATTAAAACAAAATTTGAGCAACAGATTTTTTCTAGGTTTTTACCTATGCAAACGTCCCCCCTCCCTTTTTTGAAAGTTGCCTATTTAGCTTTCAAATGAGCTAACAATAACAGACGTGAAAAAGGATCTCCTTCGTTTGCAAATATGAAGAGTAGATATATTCTTTTAATGTGGAAGAAATGCAATTCAAAATTTATTTTTTGGATTAACTCTCATTTTGTATTTATTACAGATTTTGGCATCCCAATCAACATTTGTCCAACACGAACTATTACACTGTCTAAAGGACATATTGTGTCACCAAATTACTATCCATACTATTCGCTCCACGCACGTTGCACATTGACAATCAAACAACCGCTTAACACAGTCCTCAACTTTAGTTTTTCGTACATCTCTCTTGACTCCTTCGTAAGCGGTGAGTACTTACATAAATTTAGTATTATTGTTATTGTTATTATTTGTGTTTATTAAAACAATCGCTATTGAAAATTTTCAAAAATACAAACATCAAACACGGTCTGCATTCACTTTTCACAAAAAGCTTCTTATTTATTATAGCCACAAGTGTGCTTAAATAGTTTTTGTCTTAAAACTAGGTATACAAATCCATTTAGCTATTAGCTACTCAAATAAGTGTAGCATTATTTAAAAAATAATTGCTCGCCATGCAAAAATCTTTTTTTCGATATAGAGTGTTTGCATATGACGTCAAAACGGCCATGTTGAAGGTTTAAATATTTTTTGTATAATCCGATGCTCGACATGGCATAAAATTAACATAATTTTCCTTATTATATGGTATTTCCCAAACATGGCGACTGATGCAAATACTCAATAGCTATATACAACTGCGCTTCCAAAGTGTTGTACACTTATAATTACATCAAACCCATTTACAAAATACTGCAAAACTTCTCTCACTTATATAATAATATGTACTTTATTATGTATTTCTGCATTTTAGTTACACGAAAAAATCTGATGTTTTTTAGTTAATATTTGCAAAGAAATTGATCTAATTGTTTTCATATAACAGTATTTCTACTAGCACTTGACAAATTAATTTTCAGTGCACAACAATATTTTCACAGTGAAACCAAAATATTTTCGAGTGCACAACAAATCATGTTGAGTGCACCGATATTTTTTCGATGTACCGATATTTTATGCGAGAAGCATGAAAAAATCTCCATTTTTATTTGCACACTATTATCTTTATTGTATGAAACAACGTGTGTTGTTTTTGGTGGTAAATCGTTAAATAATTTGCTTTCAATGTGTAAAGACTATTTTGTTCGGTTTGCGGCTCTCTTAAGCAGCAGTTATATAACTTTTGCCCAATTTGTGATAAAAGTAATTTGGTTTTGAGTGCGCCATGTGGCGGCCACACATTGACGGCTGACTGCACTTTCAAACATCAAACGAAGTTGCCGACATATAAGCAATTTATTAAACGAATATCTGAAGAAAAGCAAACCAATTTCGAGCCAAAAGACAGTTTCAATTGAAGGCATGTATGATAACCATAAACATTGGCTTGACAGGGTACGTACAGTCTGAGTTAAAACCAATTAGAATGGGGTGTATGCCCTTTAAGCTATCTGATCGTGCAACTTATAAAGAGATTCGCAGCTCTGAATGGTCGGGACGCACTAACTCCCGATTGAGTCTTCCTAAGCCCAGTGTCCAAAGACAGTGATAATGACGATGAATCTTCAAGCCACAAGAAGGCTGAGTCATTTGATGAGGAAAAACATTTCTTTAGTACCATTGAAACGATAACTACAGATTACACTGATATATATTACGTGCATTTCATTTGACGTGCTTTACACCAAGCCTCTCTTAAAAAGGACCACCATTCTTGTTCTGCCTGGTTAATTTAAAAACACGCTCCTCCATGTTTGTAGAAACTTACAGAATATGTAATTACGTTTGTAGCCATTATAATTCAGTTATAATTTCGTTTTGATGTTACAAAGCTTTTGTGTGGTAAATTTGAGATGAAAATCATTGTATAAAGTATTCTTGAATTATTTTGCTTTAAAGATTTTACAAGCTCTATGAAATCTCAAATGTGCAGAATTTTCAATCTCATTAAACGTTTTTGAATGCTGGTAACGTTATTGCCCATAATGATTCCAGTAACTTTATACTTGATTTACTCTGTAAAAACACTCTGTAGACAAAAGATCAAGAAACTTTATTTCCACAATCATTCATTTTTTAAAGGTCATCAAAAACGATGCCGTGATTCTCTCACTATATCTGGTGGAACTTCAAAACAATTTTGTAATAACAAGAGCTCCGTGACATTTTCACCTTACACTAGTGTTGCGGTTTTGACTTTTAACGCTCATTTGAATCAACGTTATAAAGGCTTTGCTCTTGAATTTACATCAACGAGAAGTAAGTGGTATTCGGGGTGTGTAAAAAAAGTTGACCCTAAGAAAACGTCCTCCAAAACAAGACGCGCATAGACTAAGCAAAAACTTTTTTGTAATTATTCCAAGTACTTTAAAATTCTAAGACTCAACTTTACATGGACTGTGCTGTACAAACTATCAAAAATTTAAGCAATTTAGAGAAAGCGCTGGCCAACGCAAGATCTTTTAAATTGGATTTTTGTGTTTGTGCTTTTTAAAAGAAAATTTTATTACGTACATCCTGTCAACTGAATTAATTATACGCATTTCGAAGATTTGCATAAAGTACAATATAAAAGTAGAAAGCCAATTCCCAAAGGTAAAAATATGATGTATTAAAACTTACAATAAAATGGCAAAAAAACTCTAAAAAAGTCTTGAATATATTTAAAGATCTCGCGTTGAATTGATTTTCCGATGATTTTTTTTGTGCGCAAGACCTGTTTTGAAACAGTTTTAAGAGTATATATTTCACTGGAAAAACGTCTTGCATTTTTAAAAATTTCATCCGTTTTAAATTAAAAGTTGTATTCATAATTTTCCTTTCTGCATGTTTTTAGACAACAAACAACAAACGTTTTTGCTTAGTCCGCATGCGTCATGTTTAAGAAAACTTTTTCTAATAGAGTCTACTTTTTTTGATACACCCTGTCTGTAGAGGGTTCAAACTAATAATTGTATGTTCTTGGTCTTGTTGATTGCTTTCATTTTCACCTCTATGAGCAATATTAAAGTTAGCTTTTCTGAAGTCATCGATCTCTTTGATAATTGATCAAAATGAACTTTGTATAGCCTAATTGTAGTAGCTTACTATTCTATGTTTTGGTTTAAATGGGACATTTTCTCCGTGTTTAATTAAAAGTCGTAGTCACAAATTTCTTTTTTGTTTTTAGATAATAACCCACCACCTGCATTCAGTGTTTGTTACAATAAGACAATATACAGTGCTGTGGGTCGTATTTACTCACCTGGATTCCCCTTTGGCTACAGCCGTAGTTTAAGATGCAGTGTTACTATAATGATTCCTGAAGACAAATCCTTGGAAGTTGTTCTTAACTATATTGACATAAATAGGTGTAAGTTAACTTAAAACGAACAATTTTTTAATGAATGTTTCCAGTATATTCATTAAGATTTTTGAGAACGTTATTGTTTATGTTCATATACAATAAGTTCATAATTTGTCAATTTATATTCATAATTTCTAAGCTTTTTTGTGGATAAACTAGAGTGGAAATTATCCAGTGCGAAATTTTGAAATGACTTGTTTTATTAGATTATTATTACTACAATGGATGCCCGAACGAAGAGTTGATCATCTCAGATGGAACATATTCTAATTCTACATGTGGAAAGTCATTTGTTAATAGTCCTCCAATTTTCTTTACTAAAGAAAATATTAATGTCAGTTTTCATTCTTATTACTGGAGCAACAGCTTATCAGGGTTTTTGTTGACATTTAGAGTTGTTGATGCAATGGGTATGAATAACCACATTTTTATAATACTTCTTACTAAAAGGCTTTCTATAACATTGCAATATGTACATTATACTCAGCTTGTAACCGCTGTATTTTAGATATTCAATGTACATTTGAAAATGACTTGTGCAATTTTACAAAGATCGGAGGGTGGCAACGAGTTTCTGGACCATATTTGGGTAACTTGTCAATTGTCGATCATTCTATTGGCGATGCCTATGGTAAGTAAATTTAATACATCCCTTTTGCTTTTTTCGTCATAATTGTTAGCACTCAATTAAAAGTATGAGTAAATTATGTAAAATGGTGAAAGTATTAAGACATGTCTGTTTGACCTCTGTTATAAACCAACTGGCTTGTCTTTATATACATACTGGCATTGTATGAAATAAATGAAAAAATCAAAAAAATGCAACAAATCTTGTCTAGTATGTTATAATCATGCACTTCAAAAAAAGTTTCAGAACACGCATTTCTCACATATTTATCTATGGAAGTTTTTTTATTAATATAGGCATGAATGTTGACTGGATAAATATAAATTTTAATGCAGCCTTTACAAGAATTCTGCTAACAGTTTTTCCAATTCACTGCATTTTGTCTTTAACTTAAGACATTTTTAGACGTAATAATATTTAATTACATGAATTTACAGCAGTAAAGTACTTGATTACTTATCAAGAATGAGCCTCACGTGAGAGGACCAATCTATGGAGAGTCATGACACTTAAGGAGTCGAGACATATTAAAATAAGTTAAGGGGAATGAAGTTACTTTGGATATTAAGAGTCCTCAACAAGAATAGTTGAATGAAAATTGAGTAAAAACGCAAGTAAATGTAGGTTTGCGATAAACAGAGATAGAAAACTTACATAGGTTTGCAAGTTATATCATAATCAAGGAAGGAAAGCGTCCCATTATATTCCAGTTAGTGTATGAAGGACATATATTTGTGCTGGTGATTAAATTGGGTAAGAAAGAGAATTAAATGGTCAATTATTTGAAACCTTGCGGCTTTGGAAGTAGAAGTTAGTAGAGAAGATATTATTTGTAATGATGTCAATTGTTTTATCAACTTGAATATTGGTGAACAGGGATTTGTCGTTAAAGGTCTCCATAACTGCATTAGTATTACTTAGGTCTTTCGGTTTTTTGATCTGCAGGGCCTTTACTTAGTTCTCACGTTTAACAGCGATCATTAATCAAAACCTAAAATTGAATTTTGATGTGTCTGAAATATTTTTCAGCGTCATTTTACCATAATTTTTTTTATTCAAGACAACAACTCCATTGCCTTTATTAGTTTTAGGATTACGATGACTTTGTAGTTTCTTTAGTCAATTAGAATTTTATGTTAGTCATGGATAAATTACATGTTAAGTTGGTCATGTTTGTAACAACCCAAGTACGCTTAATTCTTCAGCTTTGCTTTAATCGAATCGGATATGAAGCGAGAGTGTGCGTGGAGTAGTTCATGTTTAAGATGATTTTAAATCTTTCCGAACAGTGAAGGAAAAGTGCATGAGCTCAGTTTGGGTGATAGAATAGCAAAGTTCAGACACTTCTAAAGAGTTTCCTTTTCTTTCTTTGACACTAGCTTTTGAGAAATTTGAAATACAGCATTACTTTGTCTTTTGCAAAGCCAACAAGAACGCAGAGAAGACTGCAAGATTTATGGTCTTCGTAAGGGAGAGATTAGGGAGTTCTAGCAGAGCCTACGAGTACGACTACGAGTACGATTTACGTCATTTTGGCGCGAAAACATTGTTGCGACAACAAAAACACGTAGCCGTCATCAATCTGAGTACGATGTTTTGTAAAAAATTCGTAGTCGCGACTACGATGTCGTTTTAAGCAAAGAAAGTAGGTATATTTTTTCATACTGTAAGAAATTAGTTTACAGTACTATTTTCGAGCATCCAGGCTTTAATTTGGAACCCTTATTGAGCGCAGATGTACGTTAAAAAGGAAAATATGACATGAAAAACTTTCATGTATTTCGTACGCAAAGTGAATGGTAAACAAACAATAAAATAGTACAAATATATCGTACATAAAACTTAAAATAGTGAAGACTTTTCTGTCTAAAGAGTCCTATATTCTCGCAAAATCAGTATTACCGATTCATTGATATCATTATTGACAAATAGAGCCGTAGCTGCTTCGCAAACTTTGGCGTTTTACACAATAAAAAGGCTCGTTCTGTTGTTTACAACTAAAACAAAATTTTAAAGAAGCGACAACGAGAACAAACTTCCTAGTGCCATTCCCTTACAAGGTCAAATTTCGTACTCGGTCTCATAGTCGTACTCTTGCTAAAACTCCCTACAAATGCAAAGTCAATCAAACTTAACAACATTTTTCTAATTGTAACGAACTATTCGCAACCATGCAGTACACGTATTTATTGGCAATCTATATGGACTCCATTAACCCATAAATCATGTATTACTTTAAGACCTATCTTACCTAGTGTCAACCACTATTCATATGAGGTGGCTAAATTCTTTATTCGTTTCGCTAAACCGATCTCTACCAGCTCTTACGTATTCAATAATTCCTCTTTTCGTCAAAGGTTCATGAATATGATATTATCCCTTACAATGTACTAATTGTGAGCAGTGACGTAATACCATTGTTCATCAATATTCCAGACATTATAAATTATAACTTATCCAATAACTGTATTCCAAACTGCAACACTAACTTCTCTCAAATTTGCCATGTCTTCTAACAAGAAATCATGACTTCACTACTTTTCCTTCAATTTCAGACATAGTAAATTATAATAGAGATGAAAAGATTCCATCATTACGTTTATTGTTTTGCTGAAAAAACTTCAAAAAACATAATGACAGCGTTTTTAGATTTTATTTTGGCGTTTCTTTACTTAGAAATTGATATTTATATTTTTTCCTCTTTTTTTTGTAAAATAAGAATCTTTCAACAATCTTTAATTGACGTTTACATTGAATGTTGATAAAACATGCATGTAGTAACTGAAGTGAGTTTCTTCATGAATATTGTCTGTTGATAAAATGTCAGATGTTTACCTAGGTTATTTTGTCGCTATGGAAACATCTAATCTTGAACGTCAGAAAACTGGAACTATTAAAAGGAGCTTCACTGCAAATGGCAATTTAGCGTGCTTGACGTTCTGGTATCAAAGCTTGGGTTACACATCAAACGTTTTGAAGGTTTATGTCATGGCTAATGGGAAAACAATTTCTTTGTGGAGTAGATCATTGGGCATATTATCATCTTGGAAAAAAGGCAACTTAACAATTCAATTAAGCCACGAACGTTTCTCCGTAAGTAATACATGAACATCATTTATAAATTTATATAATTCATACAGCAGTGGTATCTAAATTAAAGTATTCATGAAATGTTATGTAAAAAGTTATTTTAAGTCATGTTTACATCAGCTCTATTTCTTTTATTAAACAGATAATTTTTGAAGCTATGGTGAATTCATATCCTGGTTATATAGCTTTAGATGACGTATTTGTGGATATGGGTGAATGCAACAATCCCGGTGAGGTTTCATGTTTTCTTGATTTAGTTGCGATAACGTAGCCAGCCTGACTTTTTACCCCAACTCTGAAAATATTTATGTGTTTACTGACCGTGAGAACAATAGATTTCTAAAGTAAATGCTTTGAACCCGGGAGTATCGTTATATGTTTGTAAATGATGATCGTCCAGGTTAATAAAGTCCTGAGAAGGACTGTTTTTGTTGTTGTTGACTGACGTTTCGACAACCTTAGCGGTAGTCATCTTCAGAGTCAAATGAAGAGTTACGTCAGGTTGGCCGTATTTGTTATCTGGTTCTTACGTCATTGTATTGTGTGTACGGGAAATGTGTATTGTCATTGTGGATTAATGTGAAGTGAAATATTTTATTTTTAGTTGTGATGTGTGATTTAGGTGTGATGTTTTTAGGTGAAAGTGTGGGTGTCAATTGTGTATTGTCATTGTGAATTAGTGTGAAGTGTAATGTTTTTAGTTGATCATTTGTTTGTATTGTGAATAAGTTGTTTTTAAGGTGCCGGTAATTGCTGTGATCTGTCCATACAACATACGTACGTGTCGCAAACATCCTAAATATTTACTGTTTCTTTACATCCTAAATATTTACTCGATTTCAAGTGAACATTAAGAAAGTTAATTTTATAAAATACAATAAACGAATTTTTGTTTAAAACAGGTGATTGTAGCTTTGAAAGCGGAATTAATAATATAAAATGCCTTTGGAGAAATGTTGTTTTCCCGCTTGATAATTATGATTGGACTGTTCATTCTGGCTCCTCGCGTTATTATGGTTATGGTCCAAGTTTTGACAGAAATGGATCCACCACAGGTAGATAAGGCAATTGAAATGTCAATTATAGAGTATAGAGCATTGTTTATAATTGTAAATTTTGCGTCTAAATAGGAAAATACATTTACATGGATGGATATTATGGATACTATAATTCTAAAAGCTGGTTGGTTAGCAACTTCTTTAATACATCAACCAAGTGTTTCACTTTCTGGTATTATATGTATGGATTGAATATTGGTTCCCTTAATATTTACGAACAATCTATGGGAACAGAAATAAGACCTTTGTGGACTTTGAGGGGTAATAAAGGAAACTTGTGGCACCAAGGTCATGTAACAGTCAACTTTACAAATGGGCAACAAATCAGAGTAAGTGAGTATTTCATGATATGATAGCATTATAAAATCAAAGTGCTTTATATTGCAGACTTTTATCATAATAGCTTACGTTTGAAAAAAAATTTTAAGCATATGCAAGAGCCTTAATTATAACTGAGCTAATTGATGCCAATAAAATGTGGAAAAATGATTACTTTTATAAAAAAAAATTGTCTTAACATATTTATTTCTATACTTGCTTTTTCTTGTTTGTAAGCTCAAACAACGTAATAAGTTTTGTATGTTTAAACATGAACTTAATATCTTTAGATCATTGTTGAAGGTGCTCATGGGTGGAGTCATTGGTATCATTATGGGGGCATAGCCCTTGATGATTTTAAGTTTGCAGATGGACCTTGTGATATAATTCCGCAAACAGCCAAACCTTCGCGTGAGTATTTCAAACTTTTTAAAATACTGTTAAGAGCCCTTAAGGAATACAATTATTAACAAATTTTACAGCGAGAGACATTATTTGCAAACACCCGCAAAACTGTAGCGGAATTCATACGGGTCACGGGGTCACGGTGTAAACGCAGTCAAATTCTGCAGTCACTTTTAGCTCCGGTGTAATGTAAACGTAGCCTAAATAAAGACTGTTTGATTTTCCGCCAGTCTTCTGGAATTTGCCAAACACTAACGTTTGTCGGGTGAAGCACAAAATTGGAATGTTTTATGCTCCTAAACATTACAGACACACTAGCTTTACCAGCAAAATCTGTGTGGCTCAGGACTTCATTAGGGCATAAGTACCGCAGCACTTTGCCATTTACACAAAAGAGAAGGTCATTAGAATGATTTTTTGTATAAATGTAACATTCAAGGAACGTCGTGGTTATTAAAAAATCAATTTACTGTAGTAAGTTTAAAAAGGAAAATCTATGATGCAGAGTATATAAAACAGTTCTTTAGAAATTGAAGTTAAAGAATTTTAATTACTTTTATTTGTCACAAGCACAAAAGCTTTTCTACTGTTGAGTATATGATATAGCTTTTTAGTTTTTAATGCAAAGTTTCCATCATCACTTTATTGATATTTCTACAGGTTTTGGTATCCCAATCAACATTTGTCCAACAAGAACTATAACGCTGTCTAAAGGACATATTGTGTCAGCAAATAACTACTTCTACGAAAGTTGTTCGTTGACTATCAGGCAACCACTTAATAGAGTGTTTAACTTTACTTTTTCTCATATTTCTCTCAACCACTTTGTTCAGGGTAAGTATATGAATAAGCTAGATATGATGTTTTTTTGTTACTTTAAAAAATAAAGCCTTGATAGAAAATATTTAATTTTTCATACTACAAACTACTGTATGGAAAGCCATTCGTCTATTAAAAAACCGTATTGCGCTCTTTGGCTACAGGAGCATGCTAATACTTGTTTCCTTTACACAAATATGTTGAAGCCATATATATGAAAAGAAAAACGCATTTTAATATTATATGCTCGATTTTAAACTCAAAATATGAAAATGACAAGAGGGCAAAAATTCACAGCGTGATATTTCAATTTTATTTCAAATTCATACGACAATAATTTCAAAATATCATCACCTAAAAATTACTCTTTGTTAAAAAATTTTTTACCTTTCATTTTACTCTTTTCGCTTTGTAAAAGACAATAATATTTAGATAATTTCCTTGTTATTTAAAAATATTAGTATAACAGTTTCTTTGCGGTAGACTTTTATTATAACTGTCTGTATTCCATTGAACGCAATTCTTTCAATCGAGAACAAAAAGCTTTTGCATCGTGGCTCATTTTACAAGTTTTAGTTATTTACCCAGAAAAAATTAGAAAACAAGAGGCAATGAATATTAAAAAGATTATTTATCGTGGAAGCTTTATATCAAAAATTCAGTAATGATTCCGTAGTTTAAAATTGGCAAAATTCATTTCTAAACCAATTTCCTATACTAATATGTCGGCAATAGCCAGTTTTACAAGATTGAAACTTAGGGAAGTGTCAATTTTTTTGTTGCTTATTGTAGAACACCGATTTATTACTTAAAATTTCCCATTGCTGCCATGTCTTCTTTAACAAAAAATTTCTCTACCCTTCTTCTTTCCAGTTGTGTTTAAATCATTTTTTTGATGTTCGTCTTGAAATTTTCACTGACCCGAAAAATAGGAAATCAAGTTCTCGCTAAATGAACTAAAAATAAATCTATAAAATTTTTGTTTACATACCATGCGCTTTGGTTTCTTACTAATTATTTTTACACTTTTAGAATAGACATCTAAACAATTTCTGTTGGCATAATACTGTAATGTTTTTCACTATTTCTTGAGTTTGGAGTAGCTAGTTGACTTTGTGCTTTTATAAGCTACTTTAAAATGTAAAAAACGATTGCTACGCTCTTTTTGAATACAATATTATGGCGTCATCATTTTTCTTGACCAATTCCTTTTTCTAAGCTTTGATTTTAGAAAAACCTTTATTTTAGTATGTTGTAGTAACAATAGAATAGAAGGACACCACTTAAAAGTCAGATTTAGTGAAATAACAATATGTTTGTGTTATGAAATGATCCTTTAAGTTTTTTTGAGTTGGTTTATTATAAATGAAATAAATCTTGGGTATCAGCCAATTTACCATGGCAATAACGCTTTGAGCAAAATATTAATCGTTTATAATTTTTTACAGATAATCAAACAAGATGCATTGATTCTCTCACTATATCTGGTGGAACTTCAAAGCAGTTTTGCACCAACACGACATCCATGACATTTTCACCTTACACCAATATTGTGGTTTTGACTTTTAACGCTTATTTGAATCACCTTTTTAAAGGTTTTAGTCTTAAATTTGAATCAACAAAAAGTAAGTTGATAGTTCTTACTGTTTTTCACTAAAATTATATACTTTTTAAAAATAAGTTTGAATTTTAGTATTGTAATACCACATTCGTCATTTGTAGGCAATAATTTACCACCTGCGTTCAGTGTTTGTTCTAACAATACAATTTCAAATAATGTCGGTCGTATTCATTCACCTGGCTTTCCTTTTGGATACAAAACTGAAACAAGATGTAGTGTTGTAGTTGCAATTCCCACTGGCAAGTGGTTGGAAATTGTGGTTAACTTTATTGACACAAGAGAAAGTGAGTTAATGTAGAAGTACGTTTTTACTACTTTTATTGTTCTTTTTTACTAAAATGTTTGTAAATTTGCCACTGTTATCAAAGGCTGCCCAGAGTTATCGTTCATTTAAATAATTTAGCTAGCTAAGTCATTTATTGGGCCGCCTATGCTGTTATTTAGCTCTTACTTTTATCAGTCAAGTGATATTCACATTTGTTTTGAGTTGAAGAAGTAGTTTTATTAAAATAGCTTGCTTCTTTAAAATTTCTTGAATTACGGGTAATATGTTTGTATTATGTTTTGCCTAATATCATCGGTTTGGAGTTATCCATTTTTTCAAATGTTATCCAGTTAATCTCTTAATTTTTTTCTTGCTAGATTCATTTGGTTGTGTTCATGATGAGTTGTTAATCACTGATGGAAGAACTTCAAACTCTACATGTGGAAAATCGCTTGTAAATGGACGTCCACTTTTCTTCAACAACAACAAAGTTAATGTCAGTTTTCGTTCTTCTTATTGGACAAGCAGCAAATCTGGGTTTTTACTGACCTTCAGAGTCCTTAATTATACAGGTAGTTGTTTGATTATTCGTTCATGCTAGCTCTAGCTGTAACAACAACTTCATGTCTCACTGTTAATTCAAACAAACACGTAAATAATTTAACTACTCTTGCAAAGGTTTTAATTTTTTTTTCAGTCATGAAAAATGGGCAAAAGTCCAGTGTCAGCTTCAGTTTTAAACAAGCAAAGTAGAGAGTACAATGGTTTCACATTTTACGTTCCTGCTAGTTTTTCATCTCTTTTTTGCAAGCTGCGAGCTAAGAATGCAAAGTTGAAACTTTAACGTAAACAAAATAAAAATAAATATAAAACTTTCACTAAAAACTTTTTGGACCACTGTTACAAATGTGTAAAGACAGTTTCCTAATTTTTCAAATATCCTTCTTAGCTGAGACTGAGAGAAACTTAATATAACTCAACTGAAAACTCATGCTCCTTTGAAAAAGCCCCTTTTGCATCTTGTTTAACCTTATTTCCTCTAAATTAGCCTTTCTCTGTTTGTTTTCTTGCTATAATAAAGATTGTTTGAGGCTGCTGGTATTAACCAACCGAAGACGGTGCTAAAAAGTTTGTGTTTTGCAGACCTAAGTACAATCTCAAAAATCGGTCATTGTCATTAGAACAATTAATTGAAATAAGTTAGCTGTGTTTGCTCTTACAAAACAACTGTCAAATTTTTGATTTCTGTTTATAATCATTATTAACACTTCATTCTGATTTTTCCAGTAAGCATTAATTGACAAAAATGCTTTACGCTTTCTTATAATCTTAACATACTTGTAGGATCACAACTCTTATTTTTAGTTCTATTTTTATTTTTCCTGAAAAGTTCAGAAAGTTCCACATGAAAAATTTTGAGCCGTAATTTTTAGTCCGTTTTGTTTTTGTTAGTCGACTGCAGACAAGAGTAGGTTTGGAATACATTCAGAGGCACTTAGTTTATGAAGAACTTTGTCCTGCAAGAAAGTAATGTTAAGATGTAGGACAAAAATCTTTTGGGTGTAGATTTACTATGCCTATATCTTTTATGTATATTTTACTCGATTAAATGTATAAAACCTTTTTATTTCCCTAGCTTTTTGAAAATTGAACTTATTTTGTTTTTTGACTATTGCCATCTTTACAAGGTTGTATCTTTCACCACCAAATTTATTGATATTTACCTCTTGGGGCGTGTCCTAATTTACGAGACTTGACATTCACCAACTTAATCGGTTGAAATCATTGATATAGATAGCACTTATAAAATCGATTTGTTAGTAAAATAATACTTTCCTTTCTGAAATTTTTGTAAATTGAGATCAATTTCATCATATTAATCATAAATTTGCATTTATGTCGTGTGACTCTCTCATAAAACCTCTGGTTTCTGTTTTAAGCATTTTCCAACATTGCAATAAACAAGATCACCGGTGGTTATGCAGGATATGAGCTTGAACTGAGTTGTGAAGTTATTGGCCCATCACTACCAATCTTTGAATGGCGAAACGGGAGTAAAACACTGTCGCTATCAAGCCGAGTTCGAGTTGAAACTAAAAATAAAGTATCAAGACTGTTTGTTCGAAAAAGTGAAAAATCTGATTCTGGAATGTACAGCTGTATAGTAACGTGTGTGGACTATTAAAAATGACTTTATTTTAAGCATATTTCTCATATTTCTATCACGTTGTATATCTTTGTAAATTTAGGAAAGGTGAAGACCGTATTAGTCATTCAATGTACATCAAAATTCGAGCTCCT